CGTTGGACGATCCGAGCAACTTCACTTTTTTTGGACCACCCTAGCCCTGCTAGCACCATAATGGCGGAAATCCCCCTCCCGCTCACGTAAACCATGATGCACCTGCAGCAGCCCTTGTGCGACCCGGACGGGATTGCACCACCGGATTATTTGTTTGGACGGTACTCCTGAAGTACCCTCCAAATCTGGTTACTCTAGCTCAACTCCTTCCTTGTACACAGAAGCCAACAACAACAACAACTACAACAACAACACACACAGACCAAAAGGCAAATGCATAGGCCCTCCCCCTATTTTTGAATAGAAGGGCGGGCCAAAAACACTATGAAAAAAAATCCAAAAAACATCAGCCAGAAAAGACGAAATTTAAGAAAATATCATGATTTTGACTAAAGCTTAAAACTTGATATCCTGCCACAGCCAAACGGGGTGAGATATCGCAAAACCCTTTGGCAGGGGGTCTTTTTATGATGACCTCTACCCCCAAAAAAAGTTTCATCAAAATCGGAGAGATGAAATTCCAAGCGTTCGTTGGTTTGGCATGGAATCGCCCGCGTACCCAAAGGACAATCTGTGGGTGTTAAAATGCAAACGAGTATCAAATCTGTTCAGCGTGACAAGAGGTTTCTTTTAAACCCTGGAGGGCTTTCTACGACGCACGGGTCGACAGCTGCGGACCCGCAAACTTGGTCGATCGCACTGCAGCATTTGCGTTTTTTCACTGTTTCGCGCGTACCTATAGGACAATCCGTGGGTGTTAAAATGCAAACGAGTATTAAATCTTGTTCTGCATGTTGAGCCCTTTTTTGTGCCTTGGATGGGCTTTCTACGACGCCCGGTTCCAGAGGTGCGGACCCGCAAAACTTGGTCGATTCCACTGCACCATTAGCGTTGTTTTAGTACTTCCGCGTACCTATGGGACAATCCGTGGGTGTTTAAAATGCAAACGAGTAATAAATCGTGTTCTGTATGTTGAGCCCTTTTTTTTTGAGCACTGGATGGGCTTTCTACGACGCACGGTTCGAGAGCTGCGGACCCGCAAACTTGGTCGATCGCACTGCAGCATTTGCGTTTTTTCACTGTTTCACGCGTACCTTTGGGACAATCCGTGGGTGTTAAAATGCAAACGAGTATCATGTCTTGATCTGCGTGTTGAGCCCTTTCTTTTAAGCCCTAGATGGGCTTTCTACGACTCACGGTTCTAGAGGTGCAGACCCGCAAAGTTGGTCGATCGCACTGCGGCACCATTTTTTTAGTGTTTTGGGCGTACCTTTGGAACAATCCGTGGGTGTTAAAATGCATACGAGTATAAAATATTGTTCTGCTTGACGAGCCCTTTGTTTGAGACTTGTCTGGGCTTCCTACGACGAACGGTTCAAAAGTTGTCTTTGGCGGGCACCTTCACACTTTGGTGGCTATGGTGGCCACCAATTTGGTGGCCACCTTCACGCACGTCGTTTCGAAGGTGTTTGAGTCGTCCGATCGGATTGCTTGGGGCACCATTCGACGCGTCTGATCAAAAACTTTCGAAACAGTCGCAGGCGCACAGTGGGCCACGAAGCCGGTTTAGGCGGACATAATTCTCCTAGGCCGTACCAATCGTTATTTTGGCGTGTAACTTCGTAGTCGGGGGGTTTTGAGGGACGAGGAATCCGTTTTAGACAATATCAGACCCCCAGTGTGAAATTTGACATCATCTGATAGAAAGGGACCTGTTACGCCAAGACATGGTCTGACACCTTTTCTACGTTTCATGAATTAAACAACGCAAAAACCTAAACAAGCATACTCGCGTTGAAGACAAACTCTGACATGCACAACTCTAATCATTACAAGCAACTACTATGCAGCGGCGCCTCCGTTGCGCCGGGAAGCGGTGCGCTGCGCGGGGCTGTTTTTCGCATTTTCGTCGATGTTTAGGAGACCCTACAACTCAAAGGTGCAAGTAGGTGCAGCTAAATCTTTTGGGTTGTTCCTGGCATGTTGGCTTCCGCAAGGACTGAAGGAGGCCGTTAAACAACGTAAACAAAAAAGTGCCGCCTCTGCAAAGATTTATTTTGACAATTTTGTCAAAGCGTAGTAAAAATAAAGCTGGACACCACAAAAATCGTCCAAAGTCAAATGTAAATGTATGTAAATTTTCGTAAAGAAACGCCCTTTTACGTGGTGTCAATAAAAAGTATGCTGGACAAAAATTAATAAGTGTTTTTTGCGTTTGAAATCATGCATATTTACTGCACCAAAGTAGCGCAAATCGTTTGGTGCGTGTTTGACCACCTGTATGTTGGCTAAAACGTGTCCTGTGTTGAAATTCCGTCCAATCCTGGTTCCTTGGAGTATTGGGAAGAGTATCACGAAAAAAAACTTGAAGATTCGAGAGTTGAAAAAATGGAATTATGTCCGCCTAAACAGGCTTCCTGGCCCACTGTGAGGCGTCGAAATCGGTTGGGTTGCCTTCTGTACAGGATCAAAAAAACAACTGAATTCGCCGGAAAAGTGCACTTTTGTGATACAATTTATCTTGTGTGGCATCGGGTCGGGTTTTTTGTCGTGCTAATTCACGCACCTGGTCGAAAACTTTTGATAACCCTCGCAGATGTCCGCATCCGGTGGGTTGCCGACCCTACAAGCAAAAAATGTCGAATGTCGTAAAACTCGTCTGTAAGATGGGCAACCCACCGGAAAAGAACGCCTGAATGGAAGTCGAAAGTAAGTGTCCAGGCCTGTCAAAGGCACCACAAGAAATCCGACCCGATGCCAAACAAGATGTTTTGTATCACAAAAGTGCACTTTTCCGGGCAATTTCAGTAGTTTTTGCTCCTGTACAGTAGCAAACAAACTGATTTAAACGCTCGAGGCACTTTTTAAGGTTTTGATCAGGCGCGTCGAATAGTGCCCCAAGCAATCCGATCGGACGATTTAAACTAGGCCTGTGCGATTAATCGAATAATTGACTATAATTGTCGATTAATTTAATTGTCAATGAATTCCAAAGACCCGATTCGATTAATGTGAATCGACACAGATTCAATAATTGATCATCGATTAATACCGATTTCTTACCCTTTTCGAGTTTATCAGAAGGATCCTGTTTGTCGCTGAAACATGGATTTTATGCATTTTTGCTATCTGTACAGCTTTTAAGTGCACAATTTTGTAATGTCTTTGTCACTTCCATCAAAAAATCTCTAAGTTTTTCAAATTGACACTAGAAAACAAATCAACTAATCGACTGAATCCAATTAATCGATCGACATTCCAATTTCGATTTTGAATCATCGAATTGAGTAAAATTTCGATTATTTCGGTAATTGATCAATTACGATTATTTTTAGTAATCGCACAGGCCTAATTAAAAACACCTTCGAAACGCAGGAAACACCTAAGATTTAGGGGCTTAAACGGGATTGTACGCCCTGGAAAAAAGGCAATGCGTTGGATCGTCATGTTATGTTCATCATCTAGTAAACCGCACATTCCGAAAAGATCGCCGTTTTGCATTTGGAAATCGGTCAAAGACTCCTGAAACAGCAACGATTTTAGTAAATCAGTCCATTTTCAATTTTCTTTAAGGTGAGGTGTGGGTGAAAAAATGGCCGAAAATCGCCAAAAAGGCGAAACCTGGTTTTTTATTGCATAATGTAGCTTAGACCTTCCTCTTTAAGGGGATGTTTCGTTTTTTCTGAAATTCCAAGCCGTTTGGAAATGACAGCCGTTTTTATGAACCATTGTAATTTTTCGCATCAAGCCAATTTCATGAAGACTAATATTATATACACGCAGCGTTTAAATAATAAAATTGGACTTTATGTACACGCAGCGTGCACATAACAGAAAAAAAATTATTGACACGCAGGATTTTTCCCCTTAGACGTCCACCGACGGTGGCCATGTGGGACAAAATGTTCCTGCGTGCAAATAATATTTTGGCTTTTATTTAAACGCTGCGTGTCTCCAAGGCACCAAAAAATTATCAGGAAGTACCTGACCTTACCCCTCCCGGACCTTACCCCCCTTATTTTCTAATTTCTTTTATGAAAAAGAAAATAATTTCTTTTATATTAAATATATTTTGAGGAAAACAGGAAAGTCCGGGACCTTACCCCTCCTGGACCTTACCCCCTTATTAATTATTGAAAAAGAAATTATTTATTTGGTAATTTAATTATTAAAGAATAAATAATCTGATAAATAAATAAATAAATAAATAAATAAATAAATAAATAATTTGTCCACATTAATAGATGTAACATTTATTTATTTTAATTATTGTTTTACACTTTTAAATTGAAGAGGCTAAGAAATCAAATGAGTACTTCCTGCTTTCACCTTTCACCTATCTTAATGGCTCGGGTGAACGAATCAAGGGCGGTTCACGCTATTACTTCGTTCGATCTCGTTCAAAGCCAAGAAGAAGGTAAAATTCACCTCCCGTTAACGTTTGAACTGGTAAGCTTTACTGCGTGCCGTATATTTTTCATACCGATGGCGGTAGATAGCCTCGCGGCGCCGTGCGCTGGTTGTTGCCTCGGAATCCGGACTTCTCCCATGAGCTTGTTGGCCCTCTCGGCTGGCGAAAACCCTGGCCAATGCAGACGAATCCTAACGCCAGTAAAGAAGAAGAAAGTCTCTCTCGTCACTTTGTTTGAGGTTGAGGTTAGGTCTGTGTCATTGTGTCTCCCATTATGGAGGGTGGACATGTGCAATCATTTCCTGGACGGATTCCGAATTCCCATGTGTTTCACTGTGGAGACGGTTTTTACTACAATGTTCGAGAACGGCGCCGCACCCGTGTTAGGCTTCAATGTAGGCATAAGGACGCTGGCTGCCCAGGAACAGCTTCTGTCTCGTTGGTAACCGGGTGGCTGCATCCTCTGCGACGGCACGCTCATCAGCCGGACCACTTGCTGGCCGAAGACGCAGAAGCGAGGCAGGCTCTGATACGCGAGGCAAGAGACAATCTCTTTGGAAAGAAAGTGCAATCAATTCTCAACGACTTTAAAGTTGGGTTAGTGAGCTTTACACTAGATTTGTTTTTCTCTTTCCGACCAAATGATTGACCTGTACCTTGTGGGACTCATTCATATGTGTTTATTTCAGGTGTCAGAACGTGCAATTGGCGTCTCGTTTTACGACTGTACGGATGAAGTCGGCCTTGTATCGTGCCAGAGCAGAGAACTACCCTAGGATCCCTCCAACCTTACTGTACCTGGGTGTTCTGTTGGGCACACCTAACATGCGCCCACTGTGCAGAACAGTCGATGGTACTGATTATATATTTAAAGGGGTTGTTGGTTGCCTCGCATCAAGAACAGTTGCTCTGATCTTTGCCTCGGGACGAATGTTACAATTTCTTCAGTCGAGGAGGAATCTTCACAGTGATGGCACGTTCAAGAAGCGTTCCAAGAAACCACAAATGGCACAGATTTTTAACATTGTGACAAAGTATGGTGAAAATGTAAGTTTACTCTCAGTGACATGTGAGGGTGTTTTTATTTGAAGGCATTATTAGAGAATTAACACATTTCTTTCTGTCACAAATCTACAGGTTGTTGCAATTGTCAGAGTTCTGATGCTTTCCAGGACCACAGAGGCATACCTTGAGGTCCTAGAGCATCTGAAGACTTTGGCTCCTAACATGGACCCTGATAGAATCCACTCTGATTTTGAGCGGGCAGAAATGAATGCTTGGAAGAGAGCATTTCCAAGGGCAAGGGTTGTCGGATGTATCTGGCACTATGCAGTGGTATGATCACATCTTTCACGTTTATATTTGGTGTTCACGTTAATACTTTTACTCATCAAATTTGATTAAGGCACTTAACATTGTTTTGTATGCTCCACAGGCTTGCAGCTGTTTTGCACATTCATTGGGCTTAAGGCACCTTGCTGATGAATTTGAAGCTGTGTTTGTCTTTATAAGGTGTCTGTGTGGTGCGCCTTTGCTCCCAGCAGACTTGATCTGGCATGGAGTAATTGAAATCTGGCGTGAGGTAGAGCAGACAGAATGGCGCGACGAATTGTTGCCTCTATTCCAATACTTTGAGAGGGAATGGAAGCCTCGTGTCAATGAGCTCTCAGTTTGGGACTGCCCGGAACGAACAAACAATTGTTCTGAATCAGATAACCACACTCTGGCTAATGTTATACCACAAAACCGGCCTAATGTGTTTCATCTCATTGGTGAGCTGCACTGGAGGTTCTTGAGGGTTTTCGTAGAACAGTCATGCTGTTGAATTCATTGTTAACTCTTGTTGTGTTTCTTCTTCTCAGGAGGTTTTGTGAAATTGGAGCATCTTGCCTGGAGCGACAAAGTAGCCATTGATTCTTGTCGTCAAGTGACTGGCTCAAGAAAGTGGAAAACAATCCACAATGACAGAGTGGTGATGCGGGCGTCTGAACTCCTGGAAAATCGCGAGATAACACCAGGACATTTTCTCCATGTGGCCTCTTATGCCATACATGCAGCTGTTCTACATGGATTGAAGATGAAACGACGGAATGATGAATCCGATTCAGATTCTGATGGAAACTCTGACTCAGACTGACTGAACTCTCCCCCTTTTCGAGCCGGTTCCAAGTGATCTCATCGATATAGCTGTGATATAGCATCCAAAACATTGAGTGGCACCTCAATCTTAGTCCAGCGCCTAGAACTGACTGCAGCTCTCTGGGACGGTGAGCTATGGAATGTTGTAGCTCTGTACTAATACGTTGTAGCCATGTACTAATACGAACAATTCAATATTGACATTACCACTTGGTTCTGGCGAAGAAAATGAACATTCCATAGCTCACTGTCAGTTAAGTGTTTGCTTTTGAATGTTTGTTTTCATTCGGAACCTAATTTGAGGTGCTTTTGAGTGTTTCTAGTTTTTATTCTAGTACTTGTATTAGCAGGAGCTTTAACATTGAAAGTGAATGACGAACTGCAAAGTGTCTGCTGTTACTTTTATTCCTGTAGCGATTCTAGTTCTGTTATCTTATTACCAGTTCTTAGAGGAGCTGTCTTTTTATTCCTGTAGTTTGAAGTTTCACCCGAATTGCTGTCAATCTTATTGTACTCTGTGCCCTACCTGTAGGTGCACTTTTCTTATACCTTGTTTTAATGGCAAGTGTTTCATTTGACGTTATAATTGAAAGTAATTTTGCTTGTTCATTAAAAGCATTTTTCACACAGCTGGTCGTGTTTTTTCTCTTTTCTGCCGAAAGTCACTTCTTTTAATGCAAAGAGAATTTGTAACTTCCAACAGATAAGTTCTCCCTTAACACCAAGTTCAACCACTTGCCAGCATTTTACACAATCGCTGAACTGAGAAAACTGTCATGAGTGTTTGAAATTACAATGATATTGTGAGCTGCAGTGTTGGAGACAGTAACTCGTATGAAATATGAACTATCACTACGCAACAATTTTGTCACTTAAATGTAGACTCCTATTACTTTAATTCTCTTCATACTATTTTTTTTCTCACTGAACAAACTCCAGCCAGATGTTTTCTATCGGACCAACCTCCACTGTAGTTGCATCTTTGCAACCTGGCCTTCTTGCTTTCTAGTTGCCAAAGAGCAATCTGGGGTTTATCCTTCGATGGCAGTTATCCAGGCAGAGAGAAATTTGGACCCTAGGCGTTGTCAGCCTCAACTTTATTTCTTTGAAGGGATCAAATAAATAGATAACATATTTTGTTCAGTCACATCTTTTGAACATGGATTGCAAATAGGACATGTTTGAATTTGAATGAGATGTGGAGTGGCGGGATCGAAGCTTCCTCGCATCGCCGCATGGTGGCGCCAGGAAGCCTTTCTGCGTGTGTGACCAAGAATTGTCTTTCACCTGAATGATGCAAAATTACTCTTTTTTTTAACTTATCGGCGTTCCAATACTAATAATTTTCACTTAGGTCTATGCTCCACCAGGAGAAAATGCAACGCGAATACGTGGTCACTGTTGGTCACATAGTGCTTGAACGGGACAGTTGGGAACATCCCCCGCTTCCGGCACGGCACCCACGGCACCGGCATCGGCACCGGTCATTTCCTTCCTTGACTTGAGTGAGTTCACTTCGTATGGAGGTAGGTTGTTGCATTCTTATTCTAAATTTACCCTCAAGTCAATGGCTTTGACGTAGTGTTCGTTTCAAACTCGATTTATCGGATTTTGTTATGATGAACACCAATTCTGTTTATATTGGCGGTCATGGGATATTTTCGCTGGCGAGAACAATTGTCGAGTGCAGCTCTTGCCCCTCTTGCCGTGACATGACGCCATGAATTTAAGGCCGTGCGCTACTTGAGTTGGATTGTGACGTGATCGTGGTAGTTAAGCCCGCAGTTTATCGTTCGTCTCTCGAAGTTTCGTAGCACGTCTTGCAATTAGCGATCTGTATAGTGCCTTTACACCGCACCTCCTCGTTTTACAGTGGTCACACTTTTCGGTACTTTTCTTGATGATCAATGGGAGCTGTCTGCGTGGCCTTTCCGGCGACCCTATCGCTTTTATAGTTTGTGCTTGTGAGATCGGGCTCCATATCTTGTTGCTCAGCGCACTTTCAAAAGCCAGGAGTCTGGGCATCATGACGCCGTTATGACGCCTAACCTCCCCTCAGGCCTTCGGCTGACACGACGGCGTGTTTGGGCGTGCTCTACCACGTGCTAGGAAATAGACTGAAATTGAGATGGTAGTAGTTCTCAAGGCGTTTTTATCCCTCAGGCATTTGTAAGTTAATCGTGTAATTGTTTACAGGATGGACTTAAACGAACTTCGACTGCTCCGTCTGGAGTTTCTTCGGAAGAAGGCTGAGGAGGAGGCCCAGGCAGCTCTGAATGTTCAAGGTATTTATTACAATGCTGTTTCCGAAAGCGGGTTGTGAGGGGAGTTATTGTTACCGGGGAAGCTAAGGGGAGGTTAGATTCCGCTCCGCGTCACACCGCTCTCTTTCTAGCCTTTGAGGATGGCTCTCAATTTTCTGAACTAAGGGTGTGAGGAATGCAAGTGTTGTTAGTTAGGCATTCATTTTGTCTCAGTGATGTTGGTACAAGGAAGAGATATATGATGTTATAGGTCAATTACTACTGAATCTAGAACTGTGTCAAATTTTGGGCTATATTAGGCTTTGCCTCCTAGCTTCCTTCCCTTATATGAACTTACACTGGGTGAGGACAGAGGGCTTGTAGTAAACTGTCAGGCTCTTTGTTTTTCCTTTAGTTTATTTATGGAACACATTATGTTAGAGAAAAGTCATTGACTTTGATATTACCAACTAATTAGGTTCCTTTTAATGACAGGTCATGGTTTTCACATGTTGCTGCCTCTCTAATAATGTTCATTGAGGAAGTGGCCTGGTAGTGGATTTCTCCTTATTAAGGAGAGGTTCTGGTGAAAACGCTATTTTCTCCTAAATAGGTCCCACTGTGAAAATTTGTTAAAAATTTGATGTCTTATCAAGTATTTATTAAAATTTTTCATTGGGGAGGCACATTCTATGCCCTGAACCCAGTCGCAGAGTCTTTTTCTCCCATTTAGGCTATAACTTTAAAAATCTTCTTGCACATACTATTTTGTCGCAAAAGGTTGGCTTAGACATTTTTCACCTCTTCGATTCATTTTTTAAAAATGCCGGCATGCACATCTCAAAATGTCAATTGCAATTTTATTCCTAAGCTTTCTAACCAAGCATTTCACTATAATTGATCAAAAATGTACAAAATAGACAAATTTTAGGGACTTTTCAGTTTAAAAAGCTAATAACTAATAATATAATGGAAGTTTTGAGCTCTGCATGCTGGAATCTTTTGAAAATGAGTCGAAGAAGTGAAAAATGTCAAGGTCAACCTTTCACGACAAAATAGTATGCGCAAGGAGATTTTTTAAGATACAGCCAAAATAGGCTCTAAAAGACTCTTCGACTGGGTTTACAGCCTGGCATGTGCCTTCAAAAGTCAAATTTTAGTCTCCTCAATGATAACTTTTATGTTCCAAACAAATTATGACTGTAGGATCCATTTGGAAAATTGCAAGATTTTCACCAGAACCTCCCCTTAAGGGGCATGCGCTACATTAGTGGTGCAAATCCACGTGCCTGCCACCTAGAGGTTTTTATTTTATCCAGGGGTTATAAATTCAAAGTTGACTTTGATTTGATCTGTATTTGCAGTTGTTGCTCATGTCCCTGATCCGCCTGCTGTGGTTGCTGATCCACCTGCTGTCATTGCTGATCCACCTGCTGTCATTGCTGATCCGCCTGCTGTGGTTGGTGATCCGCCTGCTGTCATTGCTGATCCGCCTGCTGTCATTGCTGATCCGCCTGCTGTGGTTGCTGATCTGCCTGCTGTGGTGCCCATTGCACCTGGTATGGGGTCCAATCCAACTGCTGATCCGGTCGTCAACCCACCGGCTGATCCATCTGCAGTTATTTCCAATCCACCAGCCCATGTTTCAGGTTTGTCAAAATCAATTGTTTACATTTGGTTTAAACATTCTCAAGGTGCTACTAAAATGAGCACCAATGATACTCTGGCTCAATTGATTGGTACAGTTGATTTGGGTAATGACAATAGTGATAGGTAAGAATACTAAAGAAGTCAAGGAGTAGGAACTTTCACCTAATATACGGTATTTAAGATTGAGCGTTATTAAGGAATGAAAAGAAATTTTTTAACCCTGTCGAACATAAGGAGCAGATCAAGAGCTAGAGAAGCAAGGAATGAAAGGTGACAGTGCTTAGGTTTAACAGTGTTAAGTACAGTTGCCCCCACAGAAAGCCAAATTGGCAGTCACTGCCGTTGCAACTTTACTTAACAATGTTCAACTTAAGCACTCTCACCTTTCATTCTTTGCTTCTCTAGCTCTTGATCTGCTCCTTATGTTTCACAGAGTTAAAAAACTCTTTTCATTCCTTGATAACGCTTAATTTTAAATACCGTACATCAGGTGCAAGTGTCCACTCGTAGACTTCTTTAGTATTCTTATCTGTCACTCTCTCAATGTCATGACACAAATCAACAGTCTCAATCAATTGAGCAAGAGTATCACTGCAATGAGCACTGTGGTAGCACCTTCAGGTTCCACGGCCATCCTAACATGTTGCTTATCACTTTTGGCAAATATTTTCTTTCCATTGATAAAAAGTCTGTTTTTATCTATCAAATGTTCAATCCAACCTTTGATTCTTTTGATTCTTGGTGTACTGACTTACCCCATCCTATCTTTACAGGTGATGCAGCTGGACAAATCTGTACTCTGCCAATTGCTACGCCATCTGTCAACATGCTTTGTGTGCGAGCTGAAGGTAAGTCAAAGTACTTGTCGAAATCTTTTGCAACATTTCTAAAATGTCTAGCATTGAAGTGTTAACTCGCAAACTTGCATTCTGTTATTTTGTTGACATTTTCCATTATTAACCTCCATCTATTTAATGTCAGCTTCGAACTTTTGTTTAATGTATTTATAGTCTATCTTTTTTGCTCCCCCAATGTCTTTTCAGGTTGGATCTTATCTTGTGTTCACATGTGAAACATTGTTTGTTCCAGATCTCTATGCATTCTTCCAAAATCTCACCCGGCCACATTCAAGCAGAGCGGTCCTTCAGGAGGTACCTCCAATGCAGCCCAGCATTCCACTTGAAAGCAGAGTGACGCAGTCCAACGCAGCCGTCGTAAAGGCAGTGACGCAGTCTAATGCATCTCCTGATAAGGCAGTGATGCAGCCCAGAGCATCTCCTGATGAGGCAGTGACGCAGCCCAAAGCATCTCCTGAAGAGGCAATCACTGAGCCCAGCGCACCACAAACCATGCAGCTCAGTGTGCCCTTTGAGGAGTCCAAGAAGGAAGATAAGGCCCCGGACGTTATTATTATGGATTCCCCACCCTTTAGATTGTCACCAACACCAGACAGGTCACCAAGTCCTGATTATAGCTGGATGTACGATGAGACTCCAGCTCCAGTCATTCAGTCAGTCAGCTCAAGGCCGCCCTCTCCAGAACATGTGGAATCGCTGTCAGCTGCGAAGAAAGCCTGCTCTGCCGCTGAAGAGCAGCTGAAGAGGCCCTCTTGGTCTGATTACACGTCGAGGGCACAGTCCACATCACTATCTCCTGGAACCTCAGCTTCCCATGAATGGAAATTTGACTCTCAAAGAAATGGACCTGCCACAGCTTCCAGAGTTAGGTTCAGATCTCCATCTCCAGAGAATTCCAGAGATTCCTGGACCTTCCATCCCAAGAAAAGGAGCTCCTCTTCAGCTGCTTCAAGACAACCATCCAGATCTCCCTCTCCTGGGAATTCCAGAGGATCCTGGAACTTCGATTCCAAGAAAAGGAGTTCTTCTTCAGCTGCTTCAAGACCACCATCCAGGTCTCCCTCTCCTGGGAATTCCAGAGGATCCTGGAACTTCGATTCCAAGAAAAGGAGTTCTTCTTCAGCTGCTTCAAGACCACCATCCAGGTCTCCCTCTCCTGGGAATTCGAGAGTGTCCTGGAACTTCCATTCCAGGAAAAGGACCTGCTCTGCAGCTGCTTCAAGACCACCATCCAGGTCTCCGTCTCCTGGGAATTCGAGAGAGTCCTGGAACTTCGATTCCAAGAAAAGGAGTCCCTCTTCAGCTGCTTCGAGACCACCATCCAGGTCTCCCTCTCCTGGGAATTCGAGAGAGTCCTGGAACTTCCATTCCAGGAAAAGGACCTGCTCTGCTGCTGCTTCAAGACCACGATCCAGGTCTCCCTCTCCTGGGAATTCGAGAGAGTCCTGGAACTTCCATTCCAGGAAAAGGACCTGCTCTGCAGCTGCTTCAAGACCACCATCCAGGTCTCCCTCTCCTGGAACTTCTAGAGGCTCCTGTAACAGACCTAAAGCTTCACCACCAAAGTACTTGGACTCGAGGAAAAGGCTTTCCTGTGGTGCAGCTTCAACAGGCCGATCCAGGTCCAGATCCCCACTCTCGACCTTGAGAGGAGGCTCCTCATCTTGGCAGTCACAAGACCCTGAGTTCTCCTTTCTGAATATGCGACCCAGCACTTCTAGGGCGAGATCTCCGAATTGTAGCACTTCCAGGCATCACTCTCCTTCCCCAGAAGGCCAGGACGAAGATCCTGATTTTGCTCCTCGTAAGAGCTCCAAAGCTTCAAAGCCCACCAAGGTTCCTGCCAGGAAGAGAGGTCGACCACCCAAAAACAAGAAAGATAAAGATTCAACATCAAAAGAAGATAGAGGAATAAACTGCCCCATCTGCAAAGAGACCTCTATGGGAAAATTTTCTAACACCAAGTGTGGACATTTATTCCACCCCCAATGCCTGGTTACATGGGCTAATTCAGAGAATCAGAGAAATCTGGAGTTAAAAAAATGTCCAGTGTGTAAATCACAATTTAAAATGAATGAGGTAAACCCTGCATATTTTTAGAGTTTTTGTTTCTTCCCTGCCAACTGAAGTTAATCTTGGTGTCTTTATTTTTGTATCTTTTATTTGATCTCCTGTGTTTTGTTTCGTTTTGTTCGATTTTATATTGTGGTTATTGTTTTTAACCAAATGTATGTGCCACTGAATGGTGCTTTAATGTTAATCTAGTGCCTCTCAGTGACGGTGACCTCTGGAATGTTATAGCTCTGCCTGGCCCATGTACTTAAGTAAACAACTCGACATAAGCATAACAACATGGTTCTGGCAAAAGTTATGAACTTTACAAAAGCTCACCGTCAGTTAAGTGTTTCATTTTGAATGTTTGTTTTAATTCGGGACCTGATTTGAGGTGCCAATGACCTCCATGGGAAAATTTTCTAACACCAAGTGTGGACATTTATTCCACCACCAATGCCTGGTTACATGGGCTGATTCAGAGAATCAGAGAAGTCTGGAGTTAAAAAAATGTCCAGTGTGTGGATCACAATTTAAAATGAAAGATGTAAACCCTGCATATTTATAGTTTTTGTTTCTTCCCTGCCAACTTTTGTTAATCTTGGTGTCTTTATTTTTGTATCTTTTATTTGATCTCTTGTGTTTTGTTTCGTTTTGTTCGATTTTATATTGTGGTCATTGTTAACCAATTGTATGACTGTGAGCTATGGAATGTTATAGCTCTGCCTGGCCCATGTAGTAAAGTAAGCAACTCGACATAAGCATAACAACATGGTTCTTGCTAAAGTTACGAACTTTCCAAAAGCTCACTGTCAGTTAGTGTTTGATTTTGAATGTTTGTTTTAATTCGGAACCTGATCTGAGGTGCTATTGAGTGTTTCTAGTTTTTATTCTAGTACTTGTATTAGGAGGACTTTAAACATTGAAAGTGAATGACAGACTGCAAAGTGCCTGCCTTTACTTTTATTCCTGTAGTGATTATAGTTCTGTTTTAATGGTAAGTGTTTCATTTGACGTTGTAATTGAGAGTAATTTTGCTTGTTCATTAAAAGCATTTTTCACACAGCTGGTCGAGTTTCTTTCTCTTTTCTGCTGAAAATCACTTCTTTTAATGCAAGGAGAATTTGTAACTTACAACAGATACGTTCTCCCTTAACACCAAGTTCAACCACTTGCCAGCATTTTACACAATCGCTGAACTGAGAAAACTGTCCTGAGTGTTTGAAATCACAATGATATTGTGAGCTGCAACGTTGGAGACAGTAACTCGTATGAAATATGAACTATCACTACGCAACAATTGTGTCACTTAAATGTAGACTCCTATTACTTTAGTTCTCTTCATGCTATTTTTTTTTTTTCACTGAACAAACTTCAAATGTTTTCTATCTGACCCACCTCAACTGTAGTTGCATCTTTGCAACCCGGCCTTCTTGCTTTCTAGTTGCCAAAGAGCAATCTGGGGTTTATCCTTCGATGGCAGTTATTCAGGCAGAGAGAAATTTGGACCCTAGGCGTTGTCAGCCTCAACTTTATTTCTTTATAGAGATCAAATAAATAGATAACATATTTTGTTCAGTCACATCTTTTGAACATAGATTGCAAATGAGACATGTTTGAGCTAATATAAGTTCTGGTGAGACGTGCTTTCACAACTTTCATGATGAGTTTAATCACTACGTGAAAGGAAACCTGAAGTGGGCAACTTTGGTGCACTGATGACTTTAAAAATTGACAATATAGAAAAAAAGCAGGTTTAGGTCTATATATTTTGGTTAGAGTTCAGGAAACTGGAACAGCATTAACTGCACTGATGATGATACAAAGAATAATAACCATTGCCCCTCCTCAGCTGGTAGATTTAACTATATGTATAATTGTTGCTTTAAAGAAACATAACTGTAAACCTTACTATGATTGTAAAAAGTATTGCTCGTGAAAAATGTTGCTCGTGAAAAATATTGCTCGTAAAAATATTGCTGGGCATTAAAGAAAACCACAGATTACTGAAATATGACTTACTTTATTGTTGAATGAAAATACACACGCAAATAAACGTGAAAACAATGCACATGCACCAAAAGAGCATTAAAATGACACATTTGATAAAATCATGTTTTCCAGTCACAGGTATAAAACTAGATCATTTGACGTTAAGTTACAAAACTTGTTTGCTTTTTGGAGATGGATGACAATGAATGAATACCAAAGCTCATGAACATATTTACAGATGAATTTGGAAGTTTTAGTAACAACATAGGCATGCATGCTCTCATCAAAAGACTTTGTTTCAAAACATTTTAAAACAAAGCAAGCATGGAACTTCTCACTTAACAATATTCGGTGGCTCTGAGCGAAAGAAGGATAAAGGTCATTGTTATCAACAGCCACAAAAGACAGTTTATGGTAACGAATGCCATGTAACTCTATCCAGGGAACAATGTCACAGAAATCTTTAAATTCATTAGGCAAACAATGTCGGTAGAGGTAAGATCCATCCGTATGAGGTTTGCACATGATCAGAAGGGCCAGATTCTAACTGGAGCACCAAACCTTTACTGCTTTCAAATCAAAAACACAATCCAAGCTTCCTTAAGAGCTATTGTATGACAGACAAAGACTCGTGAACTAGAACTGGGGATCATCTTGAAAGTTGGGTCCCAGCAAGTCATGAACGAGAAAAGCAAACAACAGGCCAAATTTAAAAGTTCAGAACGGTCATCGAAATTTTGGATTCCTTTATGTCTTCAAGTAAGAGAACAGGACCCTTGTTCTCAAAACCATTAATTACATAGTTTAAAGAGTCGATTCTGGAATTCAAAACTGGGAGAGAAAGTGTCTTCTTAACACATACATAATGATGAAGGATTAATGACATATCAGTTTTACATACACCTAGCAGTAAATCGTGTAGGACGTCCACTGAAAAATTCTCATACACATGAAATGAATTTAGAGAGTTCCAAACTGAATTCTCATTGATCCCTGACATGGTCAAACCCAACTCAACATCATTTTCATATTCACAGGGTTTCCTTAGGGCTGTCAAATCAATTGAGTCTCTGACACTATTCACTCGTTGCAACACTCCATCATACAAAATGTAGAGTTGGGTAGGTTGAGGCCAGGGACCAACAGAAATGGCGTATGGTTGGACAGACGTGCCTTGGACTCGAATGCATCAATTTCCTCCTGAATATCTTGAACACACTGCAAAAGAGCAAGTTGATTAAAAACATGCATTTGACAAAGATTCATAAAGTAAGTAAGCGGAAATGTTAATCAGTGACGTATTTATCCACTACACGAAGACTTACCTCAACATGAAAGAGAAAGGACCTTAACATTTCCTGCTTTCCAGCTCTGTATTTCCTTTTCACAGGTACTGAGGTAAGGTCTACCTCCTCAAACAAATCCCCAAGTAGATTAATGATTTCAGCATCAGCCAAGTCTAAAAATGAAATGGGACAAAGTAAGTACATAGAACTAAAAGATATAAAAAAATAAAAATAATATTGAAAAGAAACTTACCATGATTTGGAACGCCAGCTACTCTCCGCTAGACACGGCCAGCTCATGAAGAGACAGCTTTTCTTGTGCGGATACAGAGCATCAAAATCAGATTCAAGCTGCAAGGGATTAAATTAAAAGTAAGTTACAAGGTATCAGAGAGAGCACACTATGTAAAACTGAAATGCAAATTTCACGTACCAGAATATAGCCACTGCAGACTTCCCTCCACATCAGCAGACAAATCTGTGAACAAACACCATAAACAATTATAAGAAATGGTCCTTGATTTAAGAGCAAAGTTTATGAATAGAAACACAAATACAGAAGTTAACACTATTTTCAAAAGCATGAAATCTTTGAAAATTATTAACAAAACAAAAAACAAAATTATCAATCTCATATGCTTTAGCTTTGCAAAAGGCTACTTCAAATGTGAAGAAATGTTAGACACACAACTAATTACCTGGAACAGAAGTGTTTCTAGACTCTGTGTTTGATGATCCGGTGGTGACATAATCCTCTCTTAATACTTTTAAATAATTTGAGAACTTATGGTAGAGTCTTCCCTTAGCATTATGGCGTTTCAGAACCATTCCATCCACTTTTACTGATCAATAGGGGATATAATACTGAGCCTGGACAGGAAAAGAAAACGGCCATAAATGTTATTCAGCAGCCCACAATGAATCAATTAAAAAACCAAAAACAAGCCACCTCACCTTCCTTTCTCGAGGAAAAGTTTCCACAATAGAGCTTGCGAAGCTCTTCACTATCTGTAACATTGCAGGAACAAGAAAGGCAAGGCATGTTCAATCAATAAATTTAAAAAAAAACACTCAATTAGCGAAAGCAAAAACAATTGGGCTTACTTGCACCGCCAAGCACAACGGCACACTGGTGTGAATGTTTGGGTCCTCTACACTGGAGTCGCCACTGTCCGTGCTGGCTTGAATGTCAGGCAAAAAACTGCAAGATTCTACATCGTTCAAGTACAATACATCACTGATGATCTGACAAAGGGACGTAAGTCCTCAAATTTTCAAAAAACCCTTCTTTAGTTTCTGTCACATAACTTTTTGATCCGCATCCATACGTTTTGTTGTTTTTTTTTTTTTTAAATACGTTGGAACTTATAGCATGGTGCTAAACAATGTATGTCCACATGTTTTCTGACAAGAATGCATATGTCCACCATTTTCTGACCCAAAGGACGTAAGTCCACGTATGTCCATGCATTTTCTGACAAATTTGCGTATGTCCACTGATTTTCTGAGAAAATAACGTAAGTCCGGACATACGTTATTTTGTCAGAAAACCAGTGGACATACGCAATATTGCCAGAAAGTAGATGGACTTACGTTCAAACAACAGATGCGTTTAAAATTAGAATATTGGACAGTGAGATAGGCTTACAAAGCCTGCAGATGAAGATGTGTTTAAATATCGTGCAGTCAGATGGTCTAACATTCAGATCCCAGTACACTCTATTGTAACATTGATACCAAATCCCACCATTTAGTAGGAGTGGAGTACTTACTCATACCTCGGATAAGATGCAGCTGTTGTTTTTGTTTTTTGAGACTGCCTCTTTCCAATCAGAACTAGAGTTGTTTCTGTCATGCACTGAGTGGCATTGATTTGGTTGAAAAGACACCACCAACTTAAAGAGAAACTTAAGCAGCATAAATTGGCTGGTAGTCACAAGTTTGTGGGTATGATGTGACTGTACACAGAAAGATTTCTTTAAGAACCACACTGAGCACAACTTCAAAATACGCGACATTGTCGAAATGTCGGTGCAAATGATGAAACTCTGATCCGCTTGAAATGAAGTTTGTCTAAATGTCAACGCAACTTGCAGACAACTTTACACCCTCCAGTCTCGAGTGCAAATACTTGTTGCTTGTTCACACTACGGGGGAGAGGGGAAGGGGGTTGGCGGAGAGCAGACGGCATCAGGCGGGTGGCGTCCGAAAGTGCCACCAATGGTGCGGTCTCAGCCCGCTTTTCAGGGAGGACGTGAACGGAAAGTAATACCGCCTCGCCGAAAGCCCCGACTTCAAGCTTTCTGGAGGTGCCTTCACCTGTGCGGCCCGGTCAGTGCCCTTCAAGCCGCTGGGCCTGCAATGTGAGGGAGGCGTTCGAGATGCAGCCCTGGCCTTGAGTTCGAGAAGGCACCGTCACCGTCGTCACCCGTACAGCTGATCAGCTGGGTGGTTGTGTTGTTGGAACGTATTTTTGTCGTTCTTGCCCCTGTTTGAGTTTTCTGTCGATCCATGTTCGTTGTGACTTTATTTTCTCGCGGTGACATAATGGTAGCTGCAACAAATTATTCGTCTCGATTCGTCCAACGTTCCCCAAGACTTGGAAATGAAAGTGAGTCCTGTGTTCTGTAAAATCTTGCACCAGCAGCTTGAGCTTCATTGGTCTATTCACACAGGCTTTCTTGCGCACACCTTTATTTTTCTCCCTCTGGCTGTCATTCTTGTCATTTTGACTACTCTACAATAAGCCTTAGAGTGTTTGTCCTAACCCTGCGTTCTTGCCCCAGGCTTACCCTGTTGCTGTTGAAGGTCCATACTTAAGTGGAGAACTCTATCCATTACCTTTGTTTGTACAGGAATATTAGAAGGCGAATTGTGGTGGCTGTGTCTGAGGAAACGGAGTCCAGGAGTAATGCCAAAGACAGTGAATAGCCAGTCTTCAGCCAGGCAATGGAATTGAGGATTATCGGGTATCTGGTAAGTCTTGAATGAAGATAGTAGCCTTGGAATGTGAGATAAATATATTTGAAAACATTGCCTGCAGTTGGCCGAGTTCAGTAACTCAGTCATTTCACCTAGCAAGGATAGCAACATTAGTAAACTTCTGTCAGCTTCTGTTGTAATTACTCACTACAACTATTCTTGGGTTAACAAGACAAACCATGACTAGTGAATAATTAATCTAAATGTTAACAAGTACTGCAGCACAATAATAATAGTTATAAAAGATTCTTATTTAACTCTAAACAATGTGACAAATTTTACATGTGACAGCTGTGCAAGTGCTCCTCTTGTTTCATTTTCAAAGTGCCCAGAATGTGCTTAATTCTTATTGTATTTACATTTCAGGATCTTGCGTTGGTTGTGCTGGGGTCATCTTGCCATTCCCGAGTTCCCTGTGGAACCCAGTCAACATGTCATCGGTATCACCACAGATGCCATGGCTCAAGCTATCTCACCATTGGTTTTTTTCTACTCGTGCTACAAAACTCCATAGTTTAGGTAAGTGAATGTATGACTCAAACAACCACCGCAAATCTGTGATAATTCGTTAAAGTGTTGTGAGTGGATTTACACCTACAACTCCAGCTTTCTTGGTGTTAGAGCATCGGAAGATCATTAGATAAAAGTGTTGGAGGAATTTGTTTTCCAAGCATGAAGCAGAGGATTATCTTTGGCTTTTAAAAATAATTCCATATGTTGGCTCTAGATAAAGGCATGCATCAGGTCAATTTACTGTTAGCAGTAATTGAGCCTTGTGTTTGATAAGATGGCTGTGGGTTAATATCAGAGAATCATTAAGTCATTAAGAAAGGACCATTGTGCATGGGATAGGACTCCATTTGAGCTTCTTATCACCTCAGATAGAACAGACAGGACAAAAATAGATTTTTGAAATGTAAAGAATATCTTATTTCTGCAATGTGGTGATGAGAAGCTCAGAGTCCTAACCCATGCACAAAAGTGCTATCTAAAATATTGCATAACTCTGATTTTATGTAAAACAAAAAAAAAAACTGCCATAGCTTCAGACACTGCACTCAAGTGATACATTCGCAACAGATTTTAATAAGCATATGTTCGCATTGTAATAACGCTTATTCACGCCACCAATCTATAACTTCCAATCACCTGATGCTTCAGCACGAAGAAACCTGGGATATTTGGTTATGGGAAACTCCACTCTCATCACGTTTATGAATCACTCGGTGAAACAACAGTTGTTTAGGAGACCAAATTATATTAGTATAAAACTAAAACAAATCCAAAGGCACATTTTAATGGGCTACACTTCACTCTGTATAATTGTGCAGGTATTAATAATTTATTATATGAAGAACTTAACAACCTATTCCTTATTTTCCTTCCTTGGCGGTGAATTCCATCCTGGATTCCAATAGTCTGAAATGATGCAATGAGCAAATTGGTACTGATGGCTGCTCGAAAAGTGGGAAGTATTTGAAAGCATGACCGAGTTCATCCTTACTTTCTGGAGTCTCGGGATCAGGCCAGAATGGCTTTGGAACTCTCTTTCTCTGCTTGCGCTGCTCTTCCACATGCGACTGCACCTCCGTCTGTCTTCTCTCAGCCGAAAACAACATCTTCAGGCTTGAAGCCTCCTGTTCATTGGCCAACGGCAAAATCCATTCCAACTCGCTTCAAAGCCTCTCTGATGAAGATGCAGGACTGGTGGCGGCAAGAGGATTTTCCATCTGCCAAGCAGGTCCTGTTGTCCAACAGATCTTCATCAGATTTGACTGCTGCTGCGGCTTTGATTTCCCTGCCAACATCCATGGATGACAAGTGCCACGCCTGGGTGGAATCCATTTCAGGTAAAGTTTTTATTCATGAAACCTTGCCTTTGTCCACATGAATTTATGTTGTACGATGCTATCTTAAAGGTCTTGCGCTTTAAATTAAATGACATTGCTGTTCCAAACCTAGACTATGACTTAGATCAGTTTTTAGCTCATTCATCTAGAAGGTTTGATTAATTATTTGGTGACCTGCCCCTAACTTCTGTGTTGCAGGTTTGAATCAGCCTTCACTAGGTTCTGCTAAAGCCTCAGGTAGAAAAATGGGACTTGTGGATTACTCCCCTTCATCCAATAGTACCTGTAAGTTAAGTTTTTAATCGGACAAGCTACAAAGTATTATTCTATTTATATTCTTGGAAATGTTTTCTTTTGCAGGCAGTTCAAGTATTTTTAAAATCACTGACACTGGCAAGAACCAGCCATCTGCAAAGCAAGGTAAGTACAAGGCACTATAGTAAAAAGCTTTTTACTTTTCAGGTTTCATGTTGCTAAATTGTCAATCTGCTTTCAGCTCTGTTGCCCAAAGTGGTCTCGTCAGCTGCTGCATGCATTCAGAGTGACTGTGAAAATGGAATCAGCAAGACCATTGGAGAGTCTGCACCACCACTTTCATCGGAAAACTCCCCTTTAAAATGTAAGTGTTTAGAAGAAGTTTTAAAATAATGCTGGAAATGGGGTCTAGTTAATTACATGTATTCTCTTTTTGCAGCTGTGGTCAGGTCTTTAAGTTTTGATGAGGGGAAGGAATGTAACAGAAAGAGTACAAAGTTGGCTTTTGTGGATACATCCTCTAAAATCCTACCAGCTCCTCAAGGTAAATTTAAGTGTATCTTTTTCTCATTCACATAACCTTTTCTATCCTTTTATTTCTTTTTAAATTTATCAAGTACAATTCATTTATAACCCTTTGTTTAGCTCCACGTGTTGGTCTACCCCGACCCAAAGCCAATACCAAAGGATCCAAGGTGTCAACTGATTCCTCGGAAAACTCTCTACCTCATCCAAAATGTGACTATGAACAAAGACATTCTTTTGTGGAATAATTCATTTATTGGAATAGCAACTCATACCTTACTGTTCTTGCAGCTGTGAAAAGAAATACCTGTGACTTGGAGGGGACATTCTTACCACCTAAAAGATTCCGAGTGTCAGCTAATCCCTCAGGAAACTCTCCACCTCATTGTTTAGCTCCACGTGTTGGTCTACCCCTACCCAAAGCCGGTACCAAAAGATCCAAGGTGTCAACCAATTCCTGGGAAAACTCTCCACCTCATTGTGAGTTAACAAAAACAGTCTTTTGTGGAATGATTATTTATTGTAATAGATACTCATACCTTACTTTTTTTGCAGCTGTGGAAAGAAATGCCTGTGACTCTCAGGGGACTTCCTCACCTCCTAAAAGGATACCTACACCAGCTAAACCCTCAGAAAACTCTCCACCTCATGTGATTAGAAATAGCTGTGATTCACAAGGGACTGTCTTACCCTCAACTCGAGGTAAATCTTTCAAGTCACTAGCATTTTTTTTATTTTGGTTTTTTGCAGCCTTTACACTAAATTATTTTTTCCTTTCACAGCTGTGTTGGTGAATATGGGACAACTTAGACCCTTGCCTCAATCAGAAACAGGTATTTAGTGCTTTGACATGAGAGACCATGGAATCGGAGTGGTAATGAGGCTTATGAGACGGTTGCTTCCATTTTTGTTATTTCTTTTACAGGTGCAAGTAGGTTCAACAAGCCTTTGCCCTCAACCAAAACCTCAACAAGCAATTCTGCATCATCTCGTATGTACTTTACATCTTAATTTTGAAAATGTGGGCCCTTCTATCTAGGGCTGAAAGTCCATTCTTACTCTATTTGTTTTGGATTTTCCCCCTTCTTAGAAACAGAACGTCCAAAGTCACCTATGGACTAACACCAACTTTTGATGATAGTTCAGATGATTTATTTAGTGGTTCTGATGATGATAATCCCTCATGGATTGTGGGGAACTTTTGGGCCAAACACTGACTTCACAAAATTTCAATGGAGATGACACAGATGATAATGAAAGCAGTTCAGGAAATGAAGGCACCTCAGAAGTACCTAGTCATAGAGGTTCTGCAGTTGATGCTAGTGAGTTCTGAATTCTTATGCACCATCAAGGAATTGTGTGTTTTGGGCTTATATTTATGCAAACCTTCTGTCTGCAGGTTTTGAAGAAATGCCTGATGAGCCATCTTCACCCCCACCGAAGATAACTAAGAAACAGCTAAGAGCTGCTCGCAAAGCCAAGCGAAATAGTGGTCAAGCTTATGTGTCTGGTGAAGGTGTATCAGTCAGTGCAAGGCAACGAAAAGCTGTTCACAAGTGTGGCATGAGGGCGAAGCGGCTCGTGGTGCCTCTCAAATTGCCTCCTGTATTTTAAATCACATCATGGAAGAAGTTGGAGTTGACATTGAAGAACTGTGAACACACTTTTTCCCCGTCCCTGGGCACACCTGCCTTGAATGTGATTCTAAGCATTCTGTGATTGAGCGTAGGAAACAACAGGCTGGAATGATAAGTATTCCCGAGGAATGGGGGATGAAGTTGTTGACAGCGTTGGAGACTCATTCAAAGTTGTTGAAATGGGAAATAAGATCTATGACTTTGCCCTTATTCTGGAGAAGAATGGGCCCCTCATCATGCGTGAGAAGTTGGATAACGGGCAGAAGATGTATTGGACCAAGACACATTGGTTTCAGTACAAAGCATCAAGACCAGGCATTGTAAATTTGAAAACTAATTTCTCTGAAGATGCTCAGTTTGAAACCTACAGTATGGTGAGAGGAATGTCTAAAAAAAGCAGACAATTGCCAGAGAATTGGTGGCTAGAAACACTTCAAAAGGTACCACCTGGAAATGGCATCTCCCAAGAGAAGAAGAACAATTTGATTTCACTTTTGCCATTCATTGATGAAACTTACCACGACTTTTATCGATCCCTTAAAGTGGATGGTGCAATTATTGAAGACACCGATCCAGATTTGCCTTCAGAAAATGAGGAAGAAGATCATGAGGATGAGGATTAGCCGACTTCTGTGAAATAGATTTCTACTGTTGAAAGTAATGAGAATTAGTCTTTAAGTTTGTCTTGTGATATGCTGACTTTTTGGGTTTGCCTGGCTTGCTGGGAATTGTACGAAAGACTCTGGTTTTGTCACATCTTGCTTTCCCTTTTTTATAAGTAACGTTAGTTTTACCTATGGGAATATATTCCTTGGAAGAGATGCTAATGGATTATGTAAATGGACAAGTTATGAATTTGCTTTCAAATTGCTGAACACTGCTTGTCTGTAAGCCAAATAGATTCCTACTGTAATTTTGTTGTGGCTTAATATTTTTCTTCTTAGCTGTATGGTTGGTTTCCTGAATTAGAAATTGCTGAACACTGCTTGTCTGTAAACCGAATAGATTTCTACTGTAACTACGTTGTGGCTTTAGATATCTTATCTTATCTTAGTTTGTATGATTGGTTTTCTTAAGTATAAATGCAGACTGTTCCTTGCTCTCAGAAAATTATGTTGAAAGTAATGGGAATTAGTCTTTAAGTTTTGTCTTGTGATATGCTGCCTTGTGGTCAGCCTGGCTTGCCAGGAATTGTACACGTTCCTTTCGATTATTTATAAATTTAGTCTTTTGCTTGGAAGAGATGCTAATGGTTTATGTAAATGGATAAGTTATGAATTTTTTGATGATATCTGATTTTTTTTTCAATGTGGTTAAACTAATTTTTCAAACCTGCCTTTCTATAGACACAATATTTATTTAGTCTCTAAAATGAACTTCCTTTTTATCTTGTTGATGTTGGCTGTCTCATTAATTTCTTCAAATGTGTTAATTCTTTTGTGATTCTTCATTCTTTATTTGTGAAGGAAATAGTTAGTGTATGCCAATGTATTTGTTAGCTTTTGCTTTTGTCCAAAGTTTACTAGTTAGGCTTACATTGATTAAAACATCAGTGTATTTTTGTAATTATGAACTTTTTATTAAATGTACACAACAACTCTATTACTGACAATGTTATTTTTCCAATCCTAAACCCATAATTTGTTAAGTTTTTTCCATCTCTAATGAATTTCAAGTTGCGGTATTAATCATGAGGAACTTAAACAACGAAACTAAGCAATGATCAGTATGGGAGAACTTGCTCTTTAAAAAGTTTTTAAACAACATTGTTCACAAGTTTTAACTTTTTTCAATTTTGAAATTGAATTATGAAAAACAGAACACATTTGTCGCCATCATTTGTCCCAATTGTCTTCCAGATTAGAGAGAGGAATAACCAGGGCCATGGGCACGAACTCCATCCATACTCAGGTCCCTTGATTGGAAACAAAGTTGTGATGGTCCAGTCTTCTGATGGGTGGCAATGAGATACACCACTCGGAACAACAGAGCTTACAGCCTAAAGAGAGACAAAAAAATAAAACAGCTAAGTTAAAATTTTGCTAAGTTCACCAAGTTTGAAACTCAAGAAAAGTAAGTTAATAGGCCTATTGTTCAATATGTAAGTTAGAGAATTACAATTCATAAAAAGGTGCTTGGGATTTAAAAAGAAATATATCTAACTCAAACAAGATGAAGCAGCCACAAAAGCAAACTGAAGCCGGAGTAGAACAACCGAATGAAAGCAGTGACCAAACTTACTCATTGACGCTGCTGTAGCCTGAAAGTGTTGTTATTTCATAAAGCAGGGCTGCAGTAATGGCGATTCAGCCATTTCACCTTCATATTGAACTAAGTAGCCCCTTTAGACAAGGATCAATGCACTTGACTGCAACACATAAACAACAAGGGACTCCAGTCACACATGGTTCATAAGGACTTTGAAAATTCTGAGTGAAACTTCTTAGTAATTAAAAAAAAGTAAAGAAATTTTACAGACTATCAGCACCAATATAAGAGAGAGAAAACAAAATTTTTGAAGAAAAAGCTAAACAGAAATATTGGGCTCGGCACTTAAATTCTTTATCTACCATTTTACATGCGTGTGAGGTCTGTGAAGCAGATTCCATTGTTAGTGACAGTATCAAAATGATAAACATATCAAAATGCACTTCCTAATATTCCCAAACACAGAGCCAACATTTACTTGGTAACAATAATGATTGGACTGTAATTCTTACCTTCCAGTCTTGATCCATGCTGTTGCCGCCCAACTACAACCAGTTGTTGGATGAGTAGTAGCTCTTCTGAGCATGGCTTCGCTGCAAAAAATCCTCCTTAGTGATCACAGAATCCTCCTCTGATACCTGCACAAAAAAACAAAGCAGCACTTCAAGCAAGAGCAATAAAATAAAAATAACACTATCAGAAAAGCTCCCTATGGCATCAAGACGGGGTTAGGTAACCAAAATATGAGACAAAATCAAGGCAACCAATGGGAAAGAAAACTTGACGTAGTGCATAGGAGACGCAACACGCATGTGAAGGTGGAGAGAGAATCAAGCAGTGCACTGCACACGACTGAAGTAATTCACAAAGAAAGCAGGATCGCAAAATGGCGAAACTCACTTACGACGGACGGGACGGGACGGCCGGCCAGGGCCAGACAAAAACAACAACAAGGGCTGCATCTCGAACGCCTCCCTCACATTGCAGGCCCAGCGGCTTGAAGGGCACTGACCGGGCCGCACAGGTGAAGGCACCTCCAGAAAGCTTGAAGTCGGGGCTTTCGGCGAGGCGGTATTACTTTCCGTTCACGTCCTCCCTGAAAAGCGGGCTGTGACCGCACCATTGGTGGCACTTTCGGACGCCACCCGCCTGATGCCGTCTGCTCTCCGCCAACCCCCTTCCCCTCTCCCCCGTAGTGTGAACAAGCAACAAGTATTTGCACTCGAGACTGGAGGGTGAATAGTAAAGTTGTCTGCAAGTTGCGTTGACATTTAGACAAACTTCATTTCAAGCGGATCAGAGTTTCATCATTTGCACCGACATTTCGACAATGCCTAATTCTTGACCCGCGGGTCACTCCACTGCGGCACTGTGGCCAGGGCAGTGTATTTCTCTACTCCTTTTAAAAACCCAAACTGCTTGAACATAAATTCTTAAGGTCATGGAGAAAGGTGTACTGGTAAAAAAGGGGCACACCTTCTTTAAGTGCATACATGTATTAAGTGAACCATGAACCAGTGAAATGAGGTCTGCCTGGTTTAAAAACATTCAATGTAACTAGACTTCTGGTGTCATGGTCATTTGATGACTCTTGTAGCATTAATGACGGCAGCCAGGAGCACCAGCAAGAGACATGGTGAGTCACATGTTATTCAATAAATTTTCTGATCTATTGTATATGAAATACACTGTAAGGAAGCAATGAAAGTAAACTCAATAAAATCAGACAAGTTAGTGATGAAATTGAAGGATTTATTTGCATAGATACGAAACACACATTGAGAAATAGCAGAATGCTATAACAAGATAGGTGTACGCCAGACGGTGTCAAGTTGTTACAGGCTTTGCAATGCTTGCACAATAAAGGAGTTAAAACACATGTACTTTAAAACAGTTTCAAAAACTGTGTATGCTGTTCAAAGTAAGGTACTCAAACAGGGTCATTCCATGCCAAGCCAACCAGAGCCTACGTCTTAATGTCACAGAATTAAATTATATTTGATGGATCACAGTCAATAAGTGATTACATTGATGCCTTTAAATGGTTTTGGCGAATTTCCAATACTTTAGGAGATACAGCCATATTCCACTTTGAAGTGTCGTTCCCAATGATAATCATTCTGCATTTTTACTTCAGTCTATAAAGTCTGAGTTGTCAGCAATTTCTTTTAACAGTGTGTATGTCTTATAATAGTCCGGGTATTGGCACTTAAGTAAAATACCGTTTCTACAATTTGAAAAATGGCCAGGAATGGAATATGGCAATATCTCCGACATTATTGGAAATTCACCACAACCATTTAGGGCATCAATATTAATACTTAGTGATGGTGATCCACTAACTTTGGTCCAAATCAGTGACACCAAGGCTTTGGCTCGGATTGACCTGCCATGGAACGACCCAATATTAAAAACGGTCTGAATCACATTATCAACATAATACCCTAAAACAATGTCACATTGTGAAAGGATTTACAATTCAGAAAAGAAGAGGAGAGAAATAACAGTACATGAGTCACACGCTCAATGATATCAAAGAAACAATAATCATAAAAAAAATAGGCCAGTCCCTTCGGTATTTATTTTATAAGTAAATACACTGGACAGGCCAAAAAATGCAAAATTGCACAATGTTACAGATACCACAGTTAACCACCATGTTTTTGGATACTGATTCACAAACTTAGTCTGTTCATCAGAACAAGGTACATAAATATTTAAAAGAGATTTACACGGGAAGAGAAGAAGTCAAATAAAAACAGGATAACAGTTTAGAAATATGTACGGTATGTGAAAAAGCAAAAGAAACAATCCAACACTGGTAAAACTAAAGCATAGTTTTATCCTCTGTTTTCAAGCGTAATCAGTTTACGCTTTAAATCAATCGTAACAGGCTCATGCGCCAAGATTCCTCCTACCTGAATGCATGGGGAATTTCCAGAGTATGCTTCATTTCAAGCGTAACTTAAGGCTTGACTCAAGCATAGAGTTACGCTTTAGTTTTACCAGTGAAAAAGATGAGACATGTGAGACTGAGGTTCTTTTTAAGAAACAGTCAGTTAATTATCCATAAACCATCACAAAATTCATTCTCACATCAACAAGACAAGATATACCAAACAAAGTTAGAGCAATGGCACCCAGGAGAAGGCCTAGCGCCTTCATGCATAGCAAGCTGCCAAATCATGTTACCAGGAAGCTTCATCTATGTACTCATGAATAAAATCCTTGACCCGTTGATTTCATTACACATGTACTACACCTCAGCAATAAGGGTTACAACCCAAGGCCATAGTTTCTTGTCGTCACAGAGTCAGTTGCTTTGCATATTGCCCACTCAGCAAGAGGTGGGAATAAGGATAAAGTATTATTTACACATTTATCTCATGTGTCACGGTCCTCAAATTCTGTCAAACTCACCAGGTACTTTCAAGGCTTACAAAAACTAAATGAGACCTAAAAATACGTTTGAATGGAAGGAAGAGGTGTTTGTAAGAATGAAACCAGTTAAGTGCATAATCAAAATAAAATGTGAGAAGCACGCACAACTATTCAAGTCTTAAAGCAATTTTCAATAATTGCTTCAATGATGGAGACATTCATTTGTATCCTGCTGCCAAGCAGTAATCATTAACACAAGTGTAGAGTGGTGCTGAGACAACTTTCGACCAATTAGCTTGTTACAATTTCTGCTGTGAGAGGTTTTGTAGTGCCGGCATATTTTAAGGTATCGGTCATGCAAACCCCCGAACTGACTTAAACATTCCTCACATACGAGAATACGAGGACCATTACAAGCAATGCTGAAATTAGCACACCTACTGTACTTTGACCCCCGGGAAATGCCTGCAAAACTCTCTAGGAAATGAAGTATAGCCTTCGCTTTCCTTGAATCACACCAACCAACAAAAAAATTTTTAGGAGGAGTGATGTGCTTACCATACCATTCAGCCCCTCTTTTATTGATGCTGTTTTTCAGTGACTGCAAACAGAACAAACATTCATGAATTAAAAAAGGGAGTGTAAAACCAAAGGCATAAAATGCACGGATCACAAACTCCCAATAGTACCGAAGATTTTATAAATTTTGACAGCTGTAGTGCTTGTCCAGTCTCAAGGGATGAAAGGCAATGCGAAGTATATTTGTGTTCCGGAATGGTCCATTCAAGATTTTGTTTTATTGCAGTTTGTGTTCCTGAAAACTTGTCCTTGGCAGCAGCGGCAAACTGCAACAGACAAACAAAACTCCAATATATAGAAAAATGCTAACTTAAGTTTGGATAAAAATAGTTGCAGATTGTAAACAACAGTTACATTGACATTCCATGAATTAGTTTTTACATTGAAAATGGCGTCATTGATTTGCTTGCTTTCTAAAGGAAATATCAATTCATCTTCATGTTCGAGCTTTACTTCTTCTTTCACAACAATTTCACAGGTCACTGGGCTCATCTAAAAAAAGAAAAAAAGGAAACTTTTAAGCACATTTTTTTTAAGAAAAAAAGGAAAGAAAATGTAGGTTTTAAGTCAACATCTTTCTTCTTTTCAATGACAATATGAGAACAGTTTGTGCCAGCTGTGCCAAGAATTATGTACATAACCTAAACCCTCTCTTAAAAGCACGCAGTATCGCAAAAGTGAACAAATGCTATATGTGTTTTGTTTTCTTTTGGTTGTAATCAAATTTGTTCAAGGAATTTATTTATAATTTTATAAGACACTGTTCATCATAAACCGTACTTCTGGTTGTGCCTAGTTGTGCCCAGCAAGGATTTGGTGGCATTTAACGAAATTAACATTGACGGCATGAAATGGCAACTTTGAATTATTGTAAGGCAGCAATGCACTTACTCGTATAGTCATAGCGACATAGCGACTTTGTATTATTAAAGTACTTACATAACTCATGGTATATCTTACGACCGATCACGGGCCTAGGGCCCTTGTAGGCCCTTCTGCTACACAAACAAGCAAACAAACAGGTGAGCCATTGCCAACGCAACGCAAAAGTGCGTGAGCAGTTCTGCCACATAAGGAAACGTCCTGCTATGGAAACACCAGCCGACGCTACCGATTTAAAATGAAAGCAATACCAATGTGCCCCTTGAACGGGACAATGCTAACGTTGTGAACACAAATTTTTTATTTTCATTTAGGGAAACTTTTTTTATGGAAAGTAGCGACCGCAGGACGCCAGCGGTTGGCCCGATTTGTCATACTACTGTTCCACAGTATTTCGCATATTGGCGGCGAGCGGAGCAGCAGAAGTTTTGTAAACACTAGTAGACACGGAGCAAAATGGATGACATCCAAGACTTTGATTTGTCGCATCTTGAAGATTCCTTGTTTCATATTCATGAAATTGTCTTTAAAGATGAGCGTGAGCTTTTCACGTTGGAGTCATATGTTGACTATGTGATGAGAACTAACTCTCAGGCACGTTTTGATGGGGTCTTCAGGGTAAGCATTACAAGAATTGAACCGGCACCGAGGTTTCCACACTTTAAATAAGTTATCATATTCAACTAATTCTTGTCATGATTTTGTTTCTCATTTAAAAGGGTAGACTAGAAGGCACAAATCCTGAGCTGAGAGAAACGTTGAGGGATAGCCTCGACACAGATGCTATGGGGAAGCACTTGGCGGCACAGTTCCTCATAGCACCTGATGGACCAAAGTCCTTTGTTATGGAACACAAAAACATCAAATTGAATGTGAAACAGACACAATTCAGTAAAGCTGTTTTAAAGTCAGAGGCGTTTGAAGCGCAGAAACCCAACTGCTGGTAAGTTCTTCATTCACTAAATCTATTCCGCAACCTATATTCAATACGTTGAAATGCAATTTATTATTAACCTTTCTACTGTCTCCATTGCCCAGTACCAGAGCACTTAAGAACGGTGGCCCAAAAGAAGCTGTCAAACACTTCTATGAATCACTGCAGTCAAAGGCAATAGCTGTACCAAAATGGCAAGAACCCACTTCTGAACAGAGTCTTGGTATCAAGAGAGCAAGGTTTGAATCTCGTCAAAGCTTACTCAAGAGTCAAGACCCTTTCACCAAGTGTGCTCTCATAGAAAATAGCATGAAGTCCAAGGCCTATGAAGTGAAACGTCCTTCTGAAGAAACTAGTGATAGAGTTGCTTGCCCTTGCCACATATGCCACCTGCACGAGCACTCTGAAAAAATAATCTGTGAACCACATAACTTGAAGGAAGATGGAGAGGGTGAAAATTGTTCATTGTATTATTCTTGCATTGAAGAATCTGAGAGAAACTTTCTTTATGTGACGCCAAACTTTGCCCTCGCCCATCTGTGTCACCTAAACATGCTAACTGATCTGGACTCTTATTATCCTGGCATTTCATTTCCCTTTATTTACTTAGGAGGTCTTCATAGCTTTTTCCCTATCCATGTGGAGGATATGTCCTTGTGGAGCATAAATTATCTCCATGCAGGGCATCCAAAACTATGGTGAGTTGTGCTGATAACCCGCAAACCAATGAATTCATGACCTGCATTGACATACTTTCATTTTCACAAGAAATAGTATCAAAAATTAAGGTTACTGTGAAGTAAAAATAGTGGCTATTTGACGTTTTTTAAATACTTGTGTCAGATGTCTCAATTTATGGGTCACAGTTCCTTTCTATTGCCTAAAATCACACACTAAGAGTTAGGCCCCAACTCCCATTAGTTTCTGAGTTAATGAGGTTTACGTAAACTTTCAGTCGCTTCTCCCAAGTTCTCCTCACGACAAAGGATTAGCTATCCAGTCTTCACATTCTGGCAATTGCATCCATTTGCCCTTTTTCAATATCTGCTTTAGTTTCCCTGAAAAGCCATAAAGAAGACTAAAATGGGGCAGAATCTCTCAAAGCTGAAGAAAAATAAAAATAGGCCTGGTAAAATAGCTTTTACAGCCTCTTCCGGACTGATGTTTTCAAATCTGACAAGGCTATCTTTTCCCTATGCCAAAATAGATACATTTGCCAGAATCTGAAGACTTGGTAGGTAATCCTTTGTCGTGAGGAGAATTCGTGGGGAAACAACTAAAAGTTAATGTTAACCTCCATAACTCAGAAACTAATTGGAGTTGGCGCCCCCAACTTTGGGAAATAATTCATCTAATAGTGGTTGCATTTGGACCGCAAAATGAACTTCCTGTGACAAATATTTCTAGGACATGCTAGTCTCACTTTACAGTATCCTTAACACCGTAACCTACAGCACTTTTCAAGTGCCTTTATCACAACAGTATACATGTATAAACCTAATCCATACTTATGTTAACCAAAACATTTGTTATCTCATTGTATCATGTTTTCTGACTTTATCTATCTGGCCTTATTTTCAGGATTATAGTTGCTCCTTGTGATGTGTCAAAATTGAGTCACCTGCTTACCTTTTATGGATTACATAATCTACATCGAGTCTGCATGTTCAAGCTGTCCCATAAGAGCACAGTAATTTTCCCTCAGTTTCTGTTACACCATAAAATCAACTTCAAAATAGTACGATTCTTAATCTTTTCTAAATTAAGTAGCTATATTAATTGTTTCATGATATATCAATAATGTAATTTGTTTTCTGTTTGCTTTTCCGTTCAGATTATACAAGAACCAGGGGACTTCATTTTTTTGGCACCAAATGCTGCTCACACAGGTGGAAACATGGGTGCCAATTTATCTGAGGCTTGCAAAATCGGTACTCCCAATTGGCTGCCGTATGGGTCTGTTGCCTCCATTCAAGATTGCAATTGCATGTAAGTACAATGACTTATGTTGGAGTCAAGAGTAATTTTTTATTTGTATGGTTAATCAAGATTTTTCCTTCTTTTTATTCCTTAATACGTCAGGGTCCTTATACTTTGGTTTACAATCTTTTGAATTTAAACTATTGATAAAAGATTCCTTTCAATTTATTTTTAGGGAAGAAAAAATCCACATGGACATAACATCACTCATTAGGATTCATCGCAAAGACTTACTTGAGTATCATCTCAACAAATCAATGCATATTAAGTACAAGGATGGACATTTTGAAAAATCAATTATACTTATGTCCACTGATGAAAAAATAAAAAAAGAGCCGTCCCATGCTTCTGTTGAACAATCAGGATCAAGATCAGCATTGTCACCTACTTTGGAGAAAAAAGCAGTCAAACCCACTTGTAGAGGACCTGTAACTTGCCCAGTAGTGAATTGCTTCAGAGAATATAAAGCACCCACTAAAAGGGTTCTGCTGGCTCACATATGTCGTGAGCATCCTAAAATAGCGGGCAAGAAATCAATTCTTGATGCAGTGGACGCATTGTTCGAAAAATGTAGTTAGTCATGGTCTCACAACAACTGAAGTCTTTTAACTTCTTACTTTCATGTTTCCCTATAAAGTGTTGCATTGTGACTTGTGTGAAAATTTGTTTTCTTTTGTGCTGAAACCTTTTATGTTTTAATCAGTTGCTTAACAGTCATATTCCCACTGAGTAATTCTAAGTACTGTTAAATATTTTTGCAATGTGTTTCTTTAAATAAAACATAAGTTGAGAATTAGGTCTTTTATTTTGGTGACAGTCAAGAGTCAATATCACATACATCATGTTAGGTTGCTGTTCGTTCGATAGTTATGCTACTTTTCTCCCTCAGACAGAGTCACTTTATGGTTCATATTATCTGATAACTAGGGCAACTATTCAATACCATTTATCACATTAGAAGAATAAACAATGAACCTGTTCTTCATTTCCAAAGTTAACTTGTTTATTGGCTGGAGTTTGAGTGACACACAGGTAGAGAAGAACAATAGGTCAAAACAGTATGTTACTACTAGTGTCTTATATTTTTCATTCAAATTTAAAGAAAATACAAGAAACATAAAGGTGCTACCACAGTGCACTAGTGACACTCTTGCTCAATTGATTGAGACTGTTGATTTGTGTCATGACATTGAGAGAGTGACAGATAAGAATACTAAAGAAGTCGACGAGTAGGAACTTTTACCTGATGTACGGTATTTAAGATTTAGCGTTATCAAGGAATGAAAAAAGTTGTTTTTAAATCTGTGAAACATAAGGAGCAGATCAAGAGCTAGAGAAGCAAAGAATGAAAGGTGAGAGTGCTTAAGTTGAACATTGTCAAGTACAGTTCACTGGTCATTTGACTAAGTGGCGTAAGTCCACCAGGAGTTGGAGTCTTTTTTTGTAAAAATGTTTCGGTGCAGCCACTAATCAGGAATGTCTTCAGAATCATTGCAGAGTTTGTTCTATATGTACATCTAGTCACTGTGCTTGGTATAGGTATGGTCCCAATGATAAGTCATCAAATTTACCTTTAACCAAATGCCTTTGAAAGAAAATTTAGTTTCACTGTAATTATCTAAAAGGCATTTGTTATGAGGTAAATTTGATGACTTATCATTGGGACCGTACCTATACCAAGCACAATGGCCAGATGTACATATAGAACAAAATCTGCAATGATTCTGAAGGCGTTCCTGATTAGTAGCTGCACCAAAAAATGTTTACAAAGAAAGAATCTGACTTCTGGTGGACTTACGCCACTTTGTCAAATGACCAGTGAGTTGTTACGGCAGTGACTGCCAATTTGGCTTTCTGCGGTGGCAACTGTACTTAACACTGTTGAACCTAAGCACTCTCACCTCTCGTTCTTTGCTTCTCTAGCTCTTGATCTGCTCCTAATGTTCAACAGAGTTAAAAAATTTCTTTTCATTCCTTAATAACGCTCAATCTTAAATACAGTATATTAGGTGTTACTCGTTGACTTCTTTAGTATTCTTACCTACCACTCTTGTCATTACACAAATCAACAATACCAATCAATTGAGCAAGAGTATCATTGGTGCAATGAGCTCATTGAAGTAGCACCTTAAATCTTCATATTCATTATAACATACAAACCACACACAAAAGGAAACTTTTGTCATAGTACCACTATTCACAAGTTGAACAAAATACTGGCTTATTGTGACATTAATAGAAAAGGCAAAAGAATTTGCACATAAAAAAAAACTGAAGAATGATTCATAAAACGTAATTATTCATTGTACACACACAATGACACTTTTTAAGAGCTGATGCTCAACAAAATAGGAACTGTTACTCATCATCTTCGGAACTTGAGTCTCCATTCTCATGATATGTATTCATGACCATCATTACGTCTTGGGAGCACCAATCTTTCAATTTAGCTTCACTAGCCAACCGATCAGGTTCCTTCATAGCATATATTCTTTTGGGCTTTTCCTCCTCACTGAATAATTTGTCCCAACGACAAGGACTGACTGGCAACAAATCTTCGACAGTAGTAGGGACAACACGTCCTCTTAAGACTATACACCCTACCCTCATAAGCCGTGCACAGTGTTTTCTGAAAGTGTTCATTACTGCATCAGTATCCTCTGCTTGCTCCCTGAAAAAGTAACAAAGAGAACAACGAGTAATTTTTACAAAAAATAATTTGAAAATCAGCAATATGTTTTAAGTTTCAACAGCCAACTGAACTCACTTTATGGTCATGACCGTGCATGCAGGAACTACTTTCCATGCATTGGAATGAAGTCTTTGCAGTAATCTATTAAGACGCTCTGCTTCCAACAAAGCTTGATCATAATTTATTTCATACACATTCTTATCAAATGTCCCATAACCAGTCCAGTCTGAGCCCAGAAAGTCAACATGACTGTTCAGAAAATGGACTTTCTTTTGTGCTTTCCTGTCCACCGATTTATTGGAATTTAATCTGTATGGTGCTCCACAGAGGACACACAACTCCGGAAAAACTTCATCCTTTGATTTTTTCTTGGAGAGTGGCTTTGCGATCTGATGGTCACTAGTACAACACTGAAACAAATTTGCATTAAAACCATGCAAAGTCAAAAAGAATGCATACAATACAAGACATCATTTTACCAGTGGGTTAATCCAATTAACTTTGGAAAAGTCTGGCCTCTTCTTTTCTCCATAATCCCAGAGAAGCTCTGTTCCAGCCAGCAGCACACCCTTGGTCTCAGCGCGCACTTGGTGTCTGCGGGATCCATGGGAAATTTCTCTTACAATCAAAGTTGACGATGCAGAAGATGACCAGTTACAGAACGAAAGAGGTCCGCCCAAGTACAGGTCACTCTCTTTCAGACGACTTCTGTCATAAAGGTGTCTTGATTCACAGTCAGGAGGAATTATGACTTTCCAGCCAATCAAAACCTGATCACAAGGCTTCATTGACACTTTGATAGGCAGGTTCTCCTTAACACGAAGCCTATGACCCAGTGTCGGTTCTTCCTTCACTTCAAAAATTTCAAGTATGAGGCTCAGTCTTTTCCACATATTTCTTATTTCTGACATCATAAGGGTCATAGTTTCATCACTTAATGCACAGACACCTACAAAGAGAAACGTACTGAAGGGATTGCATACACTGTTAAAAAATGGTTGTATAGAAACAATCAGATGAGTGAAAATTTAGCCGTTCCAAAACAAAGAATTTTATCATGAACCAAAGCGAAAGAAATGTCGTTAATTCTTGTAAGCGACAATTTGTCGTTGAAGAACAAAATTCTTGTTACCACCCTTAACGATACTATTTGTATGGAAAAAAAATCTTTTGCAATTATCTGCTCAATTAAAGCATGTTATGAATAATCATCTATTGGTCTTCTTTAGTCATAGCAACATTACTATTATTTAAAAAAGAATTAGGCAAAATAAATTTAGCGACAAAAGTACTCCATGAATACTTGTCCCAGACATTACAAAATCTTTTTCGACTTACAAGACTTGACCGACAGCATTTGTTGTTGGTCAACGACTTGTATTTGAAAGTAGACTGCTAATGTGTTATTACAAGTTAGTCGTTGTGAAATTATCCTTTAGTTCCAGTACGAGTTTGGTTTAACAAGCTATTTGTTCCACAACAAGTCTTGTCGCTAAAAAAATTAGCGATAAATGTGTCGCTAAGTTACGACAAAATTTTTGCCAGTGTATATGGTTGTGAATGACAAGCAATGCTTTACACATGCACTGCTGGGTCAGTGGTCACTTTATTTGCCAAAAATTTGGAAAGCCGTTTTGAATGCCGAAAATTGGAAAGCTGGGCACGGAAATACTCCCAAGCTAGCCAAAACTTGCTAAGCATTTGAAGATTTCAGGTTAAAGCTTGCAAAATTTTGGCATTCAAAACGGCTTACCAAATTTGTAGCAAGTAACCTTACCACTGGCTTAGCAGTGTGAATCACACATACCAGGTTCATCAGGTTTTTCAATGGAAGAGCATCTTCTCATCGGAGCACCCATATACTTGTAGCCGCACCTGACGTCATGGTCCCACAGAAGCCTCATTTGATGTGGTGATGGATGCAAGACAGAAGCATTATCTCCAGGATCACTTATCCTGCAAAATGACGAAAGAAAATTAAATGCTGTACCATCAGCTACACTTATACCCACGAATTCAAACTGTTAAAACTCTTAACCTACCAAAATTTAAACGATGAATGTTATTGGAGTTATTCCAAATATTGATAACGAAAACTAAACACTTCGATTGTCACATAGTCTAACCTGATGAGCGGCATCTTACCTAATTCTGTGTCTCTTCTGAGAAGTGCCTTGGTGAAGATCATCCGCAGAGTAACCCATTCTCTTGTGTGCCATGTCTGGCCCGGTAGAAAAAGTATTCTAGGTTATTGGTGAATATTTAATTAAAAAAATAACAGAACTTCAGTGGCCAGAATTTAACCTATACTCGTCCCAGCATAACCTTTCTAAATCACTCCGCCAGTAGCCAGAGAACAGAAAATAGTCCTGCAGGTAATGCGGTTTATTAAAACTAATACTCAACCCTAGACCGTTGCCATCATAATTAATCGTATAAATAAACAACATTGAAAAATTACGAACAATTTCGGACTTAATCATTACGCATTCCGGGTTTTGCATTTCCGCGGGCAGACGACGTGCCGGTCCGAGCCCTTCAAAACAACGGTCTCTCGGAACCTCTTTTCGCACTTACATTGAGTGACTGGAAGAGATTCCATAAAAGGAGCTTGCATAGGTCTAAGCCCCACACTATTTTGTATGCCCAGCTCGCGTTCATTTTGTGGAATTCTGGCTTATTCTTTTAAAATTTTGGTTTAAATGCACCAGGTTCGCTTCTCCTCTGGACCGTGCTCCAAACTTTCTGCATTAGGTTTGAGCAACTGGAAGATATTCAATAATAACAACTTATTTCAGTCAAAGGCCCACACATTTTTGTCTGCCCCGTTCACCTTCTTTTTTTGAAATTTTGTCTCATTCTTTAGAAGTTTTGGTCTGTGTGAGAGAGGTCGGCTTCTCCTCTGGACCGAGCTCCAAACTTTCTGCATTAGGTTTGAGCAACTGGAAGAGATTCGATAATAACAACTTATTTCAGTCAAATGCCCACACATTTTTGTCTGCCCCGTTCGCCCTCATTTTGAGAATCAATCTTTAGTTTGGGAGAAACATCGAATAATCTGTGCCAATGTGGGGATAAAACGGCCAAGGGACTACTTTCGGAAAGGTTACGCTGGGAAGAGTATTCTTGGTTCCTCGGCTCCTTGAAATTGCCTACATTCAGGGGACAACATACAGCGCTGCGGCACGGACATAATGCGAACTACTGATATGGCGGGAGATTTTGAACTTGGAACATATCAAACAAGGTTTGGGAAGTGAATTTTGATCCTTATGACCTAAATTTCAATGAAGATGCTTCCCATGATTAAATATTGTGGCCGAAAGTTGATCCCAGGCACATGATTGACTACTTTTTGGTGTTCCCAAGAGCTCGGGTTGGGGTGGTCCGACTAAAGCTTTCTCGACATCTTTTATTTTAGACCTAATGTTTTTTCTTGAATTATTGATTGACTATTTTTGTGTTTTGTGATCACTGATCATGTTAACCTAATGTTTCATTAGAACTTCTATGTTACTTCTTCTTGAACAATTGAGTGAAAACTTATTTATGCAGCTCCTTTTTTCTTTGACTTTTTGTACTCAAATGAAGTGAAAAATTAATGTTCCTCACCTTTGTTTAAAATTTGTATTAATTAAATCTTAATATATACTAACAAATTGTTCACTTGCTTGCCCTTATTATCACAGTTAAGAGAGAATTATGGCTGTAGTGTCGATTTCTTTATAAACTGTGATAAGGACGAGCAAGTGAACGATTGGTTAGTATTTATTAAGATTTAATTAATACAAATTTTAAACAAAGGTGAGGAACATTAATTTTTCACTTCATTTGAGTACAAAAAGTCAAAGAAAAAAGGAGCTGCATAAATAAGTTTTCACTCAATTGTTCAAGAAGAAGTAACATTGAAGTTCTAATGAAACATTAGGTTAACATGATCAGTGATCACAAAACACAAAAATAGTCAATCAATAATTCAAGAAAAAACATTAGGTCTAAAATAAAAGATGTCGAGAAAGCTTTAGTCGGACCACCCCAACCCGAGCTCTTGGGAACACCAAAAAGTAGTCAATCATGTGCCTGGGATCAACTTTCGGCCACAATATTTAATCATGGGAAGCATCTTCATTGAAATTTAGGTCATAAGGATCAAAATTCACTTCCCAAACCTTGTTTGATATGTTCCAAGTTCAAAATCTCCCGCCATATCGGTAGTTCGCATTATGTCCGTGAGGTAGCGCCACGGGTCGCCGATGTTAGCAGCAGGCCAGAGGAAGCTAGAATAGAACGAAACCAACAGGCGAGTGGGGAGTGGAGGCCCGTGGCGGGCACTATCTGCAGGGCCGAACTCTTTACCAAATTTAATCTTTGTTCAGCTCTAAAGGGTAAAAACTGGGGGCTTTCATTAAAGCTAGAGGCATATACTATCAAATGGATAGGTTCTTGGAAAACATCAGGGCAGGAAATATTTGCATTCTCATTGCAAAGTCGTCAGATACCCTTTCTGACCATGGTCGGTGGATCGACGTCACCGCCTGCTAACGGCCTGAGGACGTCCAACTTTGTAAGGAGAATGCAAATATTTCCTGCCCTGATGTTTTCCAAGAACTGTGGTGTACCGAGCCAGTAAGGTCGCCGTTAGGTTGGCACTGCCCAGCAGCGCCCCTAGCGGCGACCACTAGAAGCTCGGCCACACCGCGCTCCCCCGCCGGACGACAGCGGTCGCCACTTGGATCTACAGCATCAACCGGTGTACTTCTTTTTCCCAAACTCCCTTGAGTCCCGTGTGTGAACGAGCTGATAGACAGCCAACCAGAATTAACACAAGACACGACAGAACCTATCCATTTGATAGTATATGCCTCTAGCTTTAATAAAAGCCCCTAGTTTTTACCCTTTAGAGCTGAACAAAGATAAAAAATGGTATACTATGTGGCCCTGCAGATGGGGCCCGCCGCGGATCCTCGCCAGACACGGCAGTCGACCCCCGCCGCCGCTTCCTTTTATGTCATTTCCACGTTTAAAACCGGCTAATCCGAGATAAAAGGTGTTCGGTTTACTCAAAAACGTCTTACTGAGTGCGCCTCAATTTTTGCTTATATATCCTTTAATTCTGAGTATTTTCGTTTCTTCAAACTCCTACCGACCATGGTCAGAACGCCAGACCGAGCGTCCGTTCCCGAGCCGAAGGCATTTATAATTCTCCTGAAACCAACAACACAAGTGTATACACAGTACGAGTACTGCGCGTAAAGGAAGGACATTCTGCTATGCTATACTCGTCCCAGCGTAACCTTTCTAAATCACTCCGCCAGCAGCCAGAGAACAGAAAATAGTCCCGCAGGTAATGCGGTTTTTTAAAACTAATACTCAACCCTAGACCGTTGCCATCATAATTAATCGTATAAATAAACAACATTGAAAAAATACGAACAATTTCAGACTTTATCATTAAGCATTCCGGGTTTGGCATTTCCGCGGGCAGACGACGTGCCGGTCCGAGCCGCTTCAAAACAACGGTCTCTCGGAACCTCTTTTCGCACTTACATTGAGTGACTGAAAGAGATTCCATTAAAGGAGCTTGCATAGGTCTAAGCCCCACACTATTTTGTATGCCCAGCTCGCGTTCATTTTGTGGAATTCTGGCTTATTCTTTTAAGATTTTGGTTTAAATGCACCAGGTTGGCTTCTCCTCTGAACCGTGGTCCAAACTTAGGTTTGAGATTCAATAATAACAACTTATTTCAGTCAAAGGTCCACACATTTTTGTCTGCCCCGTTCACCTTCTTTTTTTGAAATTTTGTCTCATTCTTTAGAAGTTTTCGTCTGTGTGAGAGAGGTGGGCTTCTCCTCTGGACCGAGCTCCAAACTTTCTGCATTAGGTTTGAGCAACTGGAAGAGATTCGATAATAACAACTTATTTCAGTCAAAGGCCCACACATTTTTGTCTGCCCCGTTCGCCCTCATTTTGAGAATCAATCTTTATTTTGGGAGAAACATCGAATAATCTGCGCCAATGTGGGGATAAAACGGCCAAGAAACTACTTTCGGAAAGGTTACGCTGGGACGGAGTATATACTCGTCCCAGCGTAACCTTTCCAAATCACTCCGCCAGTAGCCAGAGAACAGAAAATAGTCCCGCAAGTAATAGGATTTTTAAAAACTAATAATCAATTCTAGACCGTTGCGATCGTAATAAATCGTATGAGTAAACAACGTTGAAAAAATACGAACAATCTTAGACTTAATCACTAAGCATTCCGGGTTCTGCATTTCCGCGGGCAGACGACGCGCCGGTCCGAGCCCCTCAAAACACCGGTCTCTCGGACCCTCTTTTTGCACTAAGATTGAGTGACAAAGAGATATCATAATGACAGCTTGCATTACTCTAAACCTAAGACGTTTTTGTATGCCCAGCTGGCCCTTGTCTTTCGAAATTGTGCCTTATCATTCAGAAATTTTGATTTGAGTGCATAAGGCTGGCTTCTCCTCTAGACCGAGCTCCCAACTTTTTAGATTATCTTTGAGTAACTGAAAGAGATTCAGTAATACCAGCCTGTATCAGTGTAAGCCCTACACATTTTTGTCTGCCGGAATCACCTTTATTTTGCTATATTTTGCCTTCTTTTTTAGATATCCCGAATTGTGTGTGCGAGGACGGCTTCTCCTCCCGACCGAGCTCATGACTTTTTAGATTATCTTTGAGCAACTGAAAGAGATTCAATAATAATTGCTTATATCAATGAAAGCCCCGCACATTTTTGTCTGCCGGAATCGTCTTTATTTCAAGAATCAATACTTATTTTCTGAGGAATGTGAAATAAACTGCGCCAATTTGGGGAAAAGACGGGCGAGGGACTACTTTCGGAAAGGTTACGCTGGGACGAGTATAGCACAGCAGCAGCATAAATTCATTATTTGCAGTACGGAAGAAAATTCATTATTTGCAGAATGGGTCGCAAAATTAAGGCGGATACCGGGTGGAGAACTGCATGTAAATTTTGACAACTTTTCAGGTATCCCAAAACAAGCTGCTAAAAATTTAATTTTAGAAAGATTTTGGCTTGAAGCAGCAGAACAGTACCTTATCGGTGGAAAAGAATTTGCTCATAAGGGCCTTCGACATAGACAATCAACTTTCGATAATTTTTTGATGGAATGTTAAAAAATAAACAACATTTACATTTTCATCACAATTTTATTCCATATAACGTTGAGAAGACACAGGAGACAACAGAAGCCTCAATTCAACACCGGATACAAGCTTCTCTCCGCCTAGATAACTGCCATCGAAGGATGAACCCCAGATTGCTGTTTGGCAACTAGAAAGCAAGAAGGCCAGGTTGCAAAGATGCAACTACAGTGGAGGTTGGTCAGATAGAAAACATCTGGCTGGAGTTTGTTCAGTGAAAAGAAAATAGCATGAAGAGAATTAAAGTGGTAGGAGTCTAGGAGCTGAGAATAGCACTGGAGTGCAGCATGCTATGAAGAAGAAAGAGAAAGGATGTGTTCAAGGTGGGGCAGAAAAGGAAAGAGAAGACAACCCCAATCTTGGAAATTCCACTTGTTGGTGGAAAACTCGAAAGAAACCAATTAGAGATAGAACCAAAAAGATACAAGAGACTTGACTAACATCAAGAGACTCCGTCAGAAAACGTATTTTTGTTGAGAAGGTGGAAGAAATAGATAAAGATAAGACCTTCTTTGAGAAAGAAGAAGCTAAAGATGATAATAAGAAACACGAACTCAGTAAAGTGAACCATGAGACCATCTCTAAGAAGTGGACTAATCACAAGAGATCCAACCATGGAGAAGTCAATGCTCTAGCAAACATTGATCATAAGGATTCCACCAATGACAGGTATGGAATGGGTCGAAAGTTTTGTGCAGCGGAAAACTCTTTACTGAAATTGCACGATCAATATCATCACTGCTGTACTTTCTTTTCCAGGCTGGAAACGAGTAAGAGAAGAGTCTCTGCTCAACATAATTCAAGCTATGACAGGTAAATTGTGCAATCCAGGAAGGACTCATTACACTGCATCCAGGAAAGAAAAACAAATTAACAACTCCTTGTATCCCTTTCTTCCAGAGTTCCAATGAAGGAAGTTACATCCAAACAAGAGAAAAAAAGGCTGAAGAAATTAGAAGAGGCACACAGTTGTGATCGGTGCGAAGGTGTAAGTAACTAAATGCTCATTATATCATGGTTCTCATTAAGGACTGATTTTGCAATGTTTCAATAATACCTTTCTTTTTTTCCTTTTTTAGTTCTTCAATGCTGTGGGACTCAGAATAATGAATGCCTATGGGAAGCACAGGGGCTAAAAGAGCCCACCAACTCCACCAGGCAAGTATTTATGCTGACATGAGATGTATTACTGTGACTCAAGTTAAAACAGTGTATTAAACTACCTTTGATTTTCCAGGATACTGGAACCCCGCCTGGATTAGTCCTGAAAAGGAAAACTAACAATTTCCTTATTCAGTGGTTCTCACCACTTTCTTTCCATTCTAAATCTCAATTAAAATTTGTATCACATTCAATTAAGCTAAGTAACTTCAAAAATTTGTGCATTAAGCTTCAATTGTGTTTAATTTTATTTATGTTAATTTTATGCCCTCTTAGACTAAGAGCACTACTCTAAGTATGAATTCATTCAATGAACTCATAAGAGATGTAGGATTTTCTAATGCTTCAAGTGTTTTAAATGAACCTTTATGATTTTTAATTTTCTTCTAGGTTTGAATAAAAATATGACATATTCAATAAGATTCTGTCCTCCAAAATGTCCACCCTATTCATTTCAAATTTAGGAAGGGAGAAGAATCAGTCAAAAGTTCCAAACACCAGCAAAGTGCCATTTTAATAAATATTTTGAAACATTAACACAGCAATACATACAGAACACAGATACCGCTGAAGTGGAACAGAGATTGAAGATTTATGACGGGATGTCAATCTTGAAGCTTCCACGGGAGAAATCGAATGAACTGTTGGTCCCTCTGGCAGCCACCGATGACATGGTCAGCACAAAAGCAGCAATGACACCAAATGCAGCCCACTCTTCTCTTTCAGCTATCCTGCAGGCAATTTCATTTCAAAACATTAAGGGGAGGTTCTGGTGAAAATCTTGCCATTTTCCAAATGGATTCTACAGTCATAATTTGTTCGGAATATAAAATTTTTCATTGAGGAGACTAAAATTTGACTTTTGAAGGCACATGCCAGGCTGTAAACCCAGTCGAAGAGTCTTTTTGAGCCTATTTTGGCTGTATCTTAAAAAATCTCCTTGCGCATACTATTTTGTCGTAAAAGGTTGACCTATTTTACACTTCTTCGACTCATTTTCAAAAGATTCCGGCATGCAGAGCTCAAAACTTCCATTATATTATTAGTTATTAGCTTTTTAAGCTGAAAAGTCCCTAAAATTTGTCTATTTTGTGCATTTTTGATCAATTATAGTGAAATGCTTGGTTAGAGAACTTGCAAATAAAAATGCAATTGACATTTTGAGATGTGCATGTCGGCATTTTAAAAAAATGAATCGAAGAAGTGAAAAATGTCTAAGCCAACCTTTTACGACAAAATAGTATGCGCAAGAAGATTTTTGAAGTTATACCCTAAATGGGAGAAAAAGGCTCTGCGACTGGGTTCAGGGCATAGAATGTGCCTCCCCAATGAAAATTTTTAATAAATACTAGATAAGACATCAAATTTTTAACAAATTTTCACAGTGGGACCTATTTTGGAGAAAATTGCATTTTCACCAGAACCTCCCCTTAAAAGGGAGTCCATGAAAATTACAGGAGAGACAGGAAAACACACACCAAAAGTAGAATAAGATAAAGTAGTTACCTCTGAAGTGGGAGATAGCTTGCAAGTTAATGACGGGATGTCAATCTTGAAGCTTTCACGGGAGAAAGCGAATGAACTGTTGGTCCCTCTGACAGCCACCGATGACATGGTCAGCACAAAAGCAGCAATGACGCCAAATGCAGCTCACTCTTCTCTTTCAGATATCCTGCAGACAATTTCATTTTAAAACATTAAAAGGGAGTCCATGAAAATGACAAGAGAGACAGGATAACATACACCAAAAGCAGACAAAGATAAACTAGTTACCTCTGAAGTGGGAAGTTAATGACGGGATTTCAATCTTGGAGCTTGCACAAAAAGCGAATGAACTGTTGATGTTGGTCTCTTTGACAGCATTTACATTCCAGCTCAAAGATTGTGGAAGGGTCTCCTCTGGTGGTGAATAGCCTTCCGCTCTTGCTACAATGTTAACCTGAAATAAAAAAAATTAAGTTTTTTTGGCGTACTGAAGTGGAACTGTCACATATGAGCTATCTGTTTGAGCAAAGTTAGTGGAGCGCCAAATGCAGGACTGTCACAGACACAGACAAATGATGTTTCGTGTTAAACGTCACAGCTGAATGATTGGGCCATAGGAAACCAGCACAATGCTTGCGAATGCATAGAAACAGTCACTATGAGATTGGTAAAATTTTAACCCTATGATATCATATGTTTATAAGATGTAATAATCAGACCGTCGTTACGATAATAGCCCCCTCCGGCCAAAATCCCCAGCTAACCTTGCTGCACTTGGGCATTGTTGGAAGTTCCATGGACAGAACTCGGTTAATAAACTCGAGTTAAGAAAGTTCCGTGCACTATCTAGCACTCTCCGTTTCGCCGTCTCCACTGGACAAAATGCCAAAGTACAGCAGCGGCACTTTAAGGGGAGGTTCTGGTGAAAATCTTGCCATTTTCCAAATGGATCCTACAGTCATAATTTGTTCGGAATATAAAATCTTTCTTCGAGGACACTAAAATTTGACTTTTGAAGGCACAGGCCAGGCTCTGAACCCAGTCGAAGAGTCTTTTTGAGCCCATTTTGGCTGTATCTTAAAAAATCTCCTTGCGCATACTATTTTGTCGTATAAGGTTGACCTTGACATTTTTCACTTCTTCGACTCATTTTCAAAAGATTCCGGCATGCATAGCTCAAAACTTCCATTATATTATTAATTATAAGCTTTTTAAGCTGAAAAGTCCCTAAAATTTGTCTATTTTGTGCATTTTTGATCAATTTTAGTGAAATGCTTGGTTAGAAAGCTTGCGAATAAAAATGCAATTGTCATTTTGAGATGGGCATGCCGGCATTTTTAAAAAATGAATCGAAGAAGTGAAAAATGTCTAAGCCAACCTTCTACGACAAAATAGTATGCGCAAGAAGATTTTTAAAGTTATAGCCTAAATGGGAGAAAAAGGCTCTGCGACTGGATTTAGGGCATAGAATGTGCCTCCCCAATGAAAAATTTTAATAAATACTTGATAAGACATCAAATTTTTAACAAATTTTCACAGTGGGACCTATTTAGGAGAAAATAGCATTTTCACCAGAACCTCCCCTTAAATCGCCAACACAGATATAATGAAGAAAACATTGTAGTGCACAGACAAGCAACACAGCAACAGGACTGCCATGTTGTGTCGTCTGCTACAGTAGCATTTGTTTTGCGGTAGTGCCAACCTATACTCTTCCCAGCGTAACCTTTCCGAAAGTAGTCCCTTGGCCGTTTTATCCCCACATTGGCACAGATTATTCGATGTTTCTCCCAAAGTAAAGATTGATTCTCAAAATGAGGGCGAACGGGGCAGACAAAAATGTGTGGGCCTTTGACTGAAATAAGTTGTTATTATCGAATCTCTTCCAGTTGCTCAAACCTAATGCAGAAAGTTTGGAGCTCGGTCCAGAGGAGAAGCCGACCTCTCTCACACAGACCAAAACTTCTAAAGAATGAGACAAAATTTCAAAAAAAGAAGGTGAACGGGGCAGACAAAAATGTGTGGGCCTTTGACTGAAATAAGTTGTTATTATTGAATATCTTCCAGTTGCTCAAACCTAATGCAGAAAGTTTGGAGCACGGTCCAGAGGAGAAGCCAACCTGGTGCATTTAAACCAAAATTTTAAAAGAATAAGCCAGAATTCCACAAAATGAACGCGAGCTGGGCATACAAAATAGTGTGGGGCTTAGACCTATGCAAGCTCCTTTTATGGAATCTCTTCCAGTCACTCAATGTAAGTGCGAAAAGAGGTTCCCAGAGACCGTTGTTTTGAAGGGCTCGGACCGGCACGTCGTCTGCCCGCGGAAATGCAAAACCCGGAATGCGTAATGATTAAGTCCGAAATTGTTCGTAATTTTTCAATGTTGTTTATTTATACGATTAATTATGATGGCAACGGTCTAGGGTTGAGTATTAGTTTTAATAAACCGCATTACCTGCAGGACTATTTTCTGTTCTCTGGCTACTGGCGGAGTGATTTAGAAAGGTTATGCTGGGACGAGTATATACATTTTTTTCTTTACTTGTAAGGGAAGGTGGGAAGGGCAGGCTCACAACACCTTTCGTGTAGTGGACAGTGGACAGTGGACGGTTGGTGCTGGGCTACAAGGCGCTGACTGGCCACGGTGTTGCCAGACTTACTTTTGTTTACGCTTTGCTGGTAAACAACTAGCTAGAGTCCGTCGTGAGTGTTCCGTTATTTTCCGTTTTCTTCGCCATGGAACTCATTGATCAACTAGAACAAATTGTTGAACGAATTGATAATATTCCGGGAGATATTGATGAAATGGATCTGGCCCTCTTGGCCTTTCTGTTTCTGTTTGATGACGAGGAAAACGGTAGGCGTACAGGTTATTGACAGTCATTGACTTGCTTCAACGCACATTTTTATCTTTGGAATCTTTATTTTTTATTATTATTAACTATTTAGAGGAACAAGAAGAATTTGTGTGGACAAAGATTACTGTAAACCTCGACGAATACCGTTACATGGCGGATGTGTCATTCAGGCTGCACTTCAGGATGTCGCGAGTGGTGTTTGAAGTAAGACTCTTTCATGAGATTTTGGCTTTGTTTTGTAATGGATTATCTTTATTTAATCCTTTATTCTTTTTTCAGGAGCTTGCGTTACAAGTGGGTCCACATCTGCGCTCAAACAAGAGTGTGGGGCATATTCTCATGATGTCATTGTGGATCCTGGCCACTCCTGACTCCTTTCGGAGTGTCGCTTTACGGTTTGGTGTGTCTCCTGGAGTACTTCATTATATATACAGAAAAGTATTACAGGTTCTTTGCGATCTCGCCCCAAGCTATGTTCAGTGGCCAACTGCGAGAGAAAGAACAGAAATTGAGGAAAGATTCAGAATAGCGTGTCATCTACCTGGAGTTGTTGGTGCTGTTGATGGCACGCACATTTACACAATTCGACCAGGAGAGAATCCAACAAGGTTGGTTAATCGATTCGGCACCTTCTCTATTGCACTGCAAGGTGTATGTGATGACACACTGCTGTTCAGAGATATTTACGTTGGCGAATCTGGAAAACAGCATGACTCCAGGGTATTTCGTAGGAGCCCACTTTCAGCTCTTCTGTTAGAGGATGCAAACAACACATATCTCTCACCAGATCAATATATACTTGGGGATGGTGCTTATATCCTAACTGATCAGGTACGTCCTTCTATTTACTGCGTCTCATGAGTCATTGTTGTTTGAGGTGTATTTTATTTCATCTTCGGTGCAGGTACTAAAGCCTTTCCGAAATGACGGGAACTTAAGTGATGTTCAGCGCTGGTTCAATGTATGTTTAGCAAGTGGAAGGGTTGTAATTGAGCAGGCATTTGGTCTCCTCAAAGGCAAATGGCGTCGACTAAAGTACCTGCATGTCCACTCAGAGGAGGACATTGTGAATCATGTTGTTGCATGTGTCATGTTACATAATTTTCTCCTCTGTCAAGGAGAGCCAATCGTGAGTAGCTCAAAGTGCCTGTGATTACAAAAGGACATGTTGTGTCTGTGGAGGACATTACAGTGAAAAATTCTTTCAATAAACAGGATGAAGGTTTGATCAACAACATCCATCCTCGAGTTGAGCAGCAGGTGCAAGATCCTCTGGACCCTGAAGAGGAGCATATTAATGTAGACATTGAGCCAGATCACCCTCTTCTTCATGCTGCTATGGCTCGAGGTGTGGAACTGAGGCATCATATGGCCCAGCTTGTCTTCAATGAAAATTGAATTTACATTCTTCACATTCATAATGTAATGTCATGCCAGTGGAGTGTGAAATTTTTGTGAGACACATCGCTCCTTTGGTCTTATTTTTGTAGGAATAAATAACAACAATATGAAATTGAAGCATGATTGTATTTTATGAGATAACCTTAACTACACACTGTTAAAAAAATTCTGAAAATTCAGACCGAAAGTGTCAGACTTGTCCGTCTGAATTTCGTTTTCAGACTAGAGTCCTAATATTTGGACCGCAGGTCTAAAAATACGGACCTTTGTAGTCTGAAAAAAAATTTCAGACGCGGCGGTCTGAAAATTCAGACTTAACAAGGTTTAATAATTTGCCCTGCGAGTCTGAAAGTAGAATTCAGCGTCCGGTCTTAATTTTCTGCCCGACTCGTCTGACTCCCGCCCCCTCTCTCTATACGCTGCTTTAATCGGACTGCCCCGAAGGTAGCACCTTGAGCCCCAGAGTAGCCCTTTTTATAGCGCTCTGGGAGCACCTTGACCAGCTAAGCTAGTAGGCCCGAAAGCGATCTAGTTTGTCTCGGACTTGTTCGGCTGAGTCCGTTCGGCACCGAGCAGGGCCGAGCACCGAGCCGAGCCCAGTGCAGCGGCCGCAGGACTGTCCCCGCCGCCGGTGCATTCTCGGAAAGTCCGGCGAGGCAGGGCCGGCTGGAGGCGCCCTCTGATTGGCTCGGCAAGGAGGGGAGCGCTAATCCGTCGGCAACTCGGAATGTTTTGGCCGACCCGGCGCCCTGCACGCAAAACGTCAGTCTCCAGCAGTCTTCCAAGGTGCACACATCGCCTGTATTTTGCGTCAGGTCCACTCGCTCGGCGCGCTGAAGTCATGTCGACGGAAAGAAGTGCATTTTAGTTCGAAGTGTTTTCTGCTGATGACCCTTCTTGACGCTGTGGTGACTCTGCGCTCGCTGTACGCATCTCCCGAAACTGAAGGGGCGGGCGGTGAGAGGGCGAGAGGTGTTCTAAATTATTCGCCTCTCCCCGTTCACACTCGTCCCCAAAGTGCCTTCATCGGATATTAGTTCAAACTTCTGGTTGGACGAATCTGATACGTTCACTTCGTGTGCACCGGTGCGTGTTGGATCGTGTGCTTGCCACAGTGAGTTAATTGTTACAACCAAGGTTTGAGTTGATTTTGCGATGATAAGCAAAGAAATTTATGGTTATGATGACTCAAGTGACCAAAGTGACTTTCTAAGTTTTTTTCTAAATATTTGTCCACATATCTCAATTCCTGGATAAAAGTTCCTTTCCATTGCATTAACTCATGCACTAAGAGTTGTACACCACCTTATTTTAGTTTCTGAGTTATGGATGTTTACGTTAACTTTTAGTCGTTTCTCTCAAATTTTCCTCACGACAAAGGATTAGCTACCCAGTCTTCATATTATTGTAATTGTATCTATTTTTGCAAAGGAAATAGATAGCTTTTTTAAAAAATATCTCCCTTAGTTTTCCTGAAACACCATAAACCAAAAATCTTTTAAATTTGAAGAAAAATAAAAGTGGGCCTGACAAGTTAGCTTTTTAAAAGCTAATACAGCCTCTTCTGGACTTGTATTTTCAAATTTGACAACGCTTTCTTTTTCATATGCAAAAATAGATATAATTGCCAGAATCTGAAGGCTGGGTAGCTAATCCTTTGTCGTGAGAAGAATTTGGAGGAAACGACTAAAAGTTTACGTAAACCTCCATAACTCAGAAACTAATTAGAGTTGGAGTCCCCAACTTTGAGAATAAATTTATCTAGTAGTGGTGGAATTTTGACCTCAAAATGAACTTCCTGTGACAAATATTTCTAGGACATGCAAGTTTCACTTGACAGTATCCTTAAGGTTACAAAATTGACTTTTACTAGCCACAGCAATTTTCATCCTTCTCAAAGCATTGGTTGGATCAACTTTCATATATTACCTTGCCCGCACTGCGCACAAAGAGGGAGGCGAGGGGTATGGGAGTGAACTGCTGAAAGCAAATTCAGACCAGGAAGCCCTTTTTTAAGAAATAAGACATCTCAATTTTAAGCTCACCAAATTCCTAAATTTCAGAGTCCAGCGGTCTTAATACCAATTCAGACTAGAGGTCTTAATCCATATTCAGACTTGTGGTCTGAATTCACAGGTCTGAATTTTCAGACCGCATGTTTCTGAAAAAGTTGGTCTGAAAATTAGGAGTGCCTTTTGCGAAATTTTCTTCAGTTCATTTAGTCTGAATTTTCAGAATTTTTTTTTAACAGTGCAAGAAACAAATCTATCAATCAAAAAATGGCTGTGTGCCCAAAAGAAATAAAGGAACCAAAAGTAGATACAGAACCAGTCCATTTCAAGTTGATTAAACAACGTAGAAAGAATGCAACCTAAACTAGAACAGAATTATCAATAGCACTGAGCACTGAAGTATTTAAACCTTGGTAGGCATACCTGAGGTGGCTCGTTACATACATGCATAACAACTCAAAAATATATACCAAAATTATTAATAATGGTTCATGCAGCAACATAGAATCTCTTACAACTAAGTCACAGCAGGTAAAGAACTGTGTATTTTAAAAAATCAACTTGCAGATATGTCAGAAACAAAATACTGCATTTTACTAAGATCACATAAAGGAACCCAAAACCCAATAACCATCCACTTAAAGTTACACAAAGCACTCAACTCAAAATAGAAACAATAACACTGCGATCCAAACAGAGAGGAACACAGTTTTAACTTAGTTTGTACAGAACAGCATAACCCCTTTTGGGAAAGTAAGGGTCACACAATAAAATAATGAGGACCTCGAAACAACAAAGTCACAGCACATAACATAATGTCATCATAAAATTATGAAACAAAGACCTGTACAGTAACGAATACAGTCCTAATTAATTCCTGAAGTCCTAAAAAGTTCATGTTACTCTACTCCTTTGTTTTTTTTGTTTGTTTTTTGGTTTGTCACTGCCAATTGAATATGACTTGATCAGTCCACAACAGGGCTTGCCCTATGGACTTTTATTTTGCTTGAAATAAATAAAATAAAATTAATGAAGACCCCAAACTCAGAAACAACACACCATTTCATGCTAACTTAAAAAATACCTTGCACAGCGCAATAAAATAAAAACAACCTGCATGCATTAAGAGAAACAAATTTATGAATAAGAACATCATTGAACTTGAGCAGTTAACTTAAACTTAACTTAACTTATAGAGACACAACCTCAAGTCACAGCACACACATTTAAAAACCTGTCACAGCAACGCTCCCATCACTAAAACTACTGGCAAAGCACACACAATTAAGCTGAAATTATGCCACTGGCTAGTACCCATACACTCCATCAAAAACAACTCAACAAATTGCTTGCACAGCACAAGTAGGAAAAATGTAACCCTCACTATGAGAAACAAATTCATAAAATCTATAAACATCACTCAACTGAAGAAGTTAACTTGAACTTAACTTAAGTTGAACAGCCTTACGTCACAGCGCCCACAATTGACAAGGAACCTTACCGTCACATAGCTAAACTCTAAAGAGATGTAATGATCCATCTCCACATAAAACTAGTTACATTGCTTGACCAAGTACTGCCAAACAAATTGAGAAATTGGTCCTATTGAGATCCTTAAAATACTGAATAGAAACAATGGAATGGAAACTGGAAAGCACAATAGAATGAGGAATGAAACACCTATACGCAGCAAAATAGAGCATCCATTTCAGCTTTGGCTGCTAAATTTGCTGAGTATAGCCTGCATACACTGCAGCTTCACCTCCTCCTGCTTCTCTCTCAAAGCCTTCCTCTTCTGAGCAGGAGTCTGCCTCCGCTCCTCTGCTTCAGCCCTTGGTGTTGTAGCAGTTTCTGCATTCCTTACAATGGTGTTGGATGCTCCCAGGCTCCTAGTCATCTTTGCCTTATTAGCCATCTCTCCACCTGTTGCTAATGTCATGGCGTCCCAGTAAATCCAATCTCTGCCCTCACCACCAGCACCAGACCCTTTCTGGTTGTCTGACTTCTCGTTGTACTGCATCTTTAAGCGCTGCCACTTGCCTCGGCATTGGGTCCACGTGTAGTCCTTAAATTCATTGAGTTCATTCTTGATCGACATCCAGATTTGTTGCGGCCTGTGTGCTTTTTCTAACTCCTCTCTTTTCTCCGCATAAGCGTTAATTAGCTTCACCACAGCAGCATGAGGCCACAGCTGTTCTGAAAATTAGTAATGCCAATTAATAGAGAGCTCTACAAATAAAGAAACACATGACATGAGACAAAAAAGTAATGTACACTTACTGTCAACAGTTTCATCTACATCATCCTGGTGGAATCTGGCCATGGCGTAATAGTGTGGCCATGTCTCCGTCCTCCTCTCGGACATGTTATCCCGTAGCTGCACATAATACTGCTTCAACCCTTTCAATTTTGCCCTCAATTCCTCTACAGTTACGAACTGCTGCTCCTGTGCCATAGCTTGCAGAATCTCCTTGTAAGGTGTCCTGCTTTTCCCATTGTTGGATAGAATAAGGAGGTGCCTCAGGAAGTGAGGCACCCACTGTTCCTCGCTCCTGCGACTGCTTCGTGGCTTATGGCTTGTCACTTGCCCACTGTGAAGGGAGATGCAGAATTTACTCCCATTGTGAGTTAAGCCACTAAGGCCTCTGGCTGCACTGGCCTCCTGAGGGGTCCGAAACTGAAAGGGAAACACATTGATTAAAATTTGATATGTAACACTAGCATTAGCACTATGTTTCATAAGGCAAGAACATCTTACCTGAACAACTGCACTGTTATCCTCATGATGAATCACCAAATTTGTAACTGGCATGCCAGCAATAGATGTCAGGTTTAACTGGTGCATCTTCAGGCTGAACCAATTCTCAAGATCATCCTGTCACATAAGATAATATTTTTTTTTAGACAAGTGAAGAAGAAAAATGCAAATTAGCAGCAGTGCAAGCAAGGCCTTCTACTTACTCTTTTCATGTTTGGAGGCAGTCC